ATTTGCATCTTGAAAGCTGGACTACAAATGTGGATAGACAGGGAGAAACACACACAAGCCTAAGACGTGGTAAGATACGATATTCCTCACTATATGAAGTGACTGATAACAGATCTGTATAATGATTGTAAAGAAATTCGTCAGGTTTTTATTTGGTAGACAATTGATCTGTATTTATAGCATGATGGGATGACAGCACAATGATGTGTGTGGTATCCTCGGAAAGCTCTGGTCCTGCGCTTTCATGTGATATGCGTGGCATTTCTGTGCGAGCCTGCATTCGCGAGTAATCCATCCAAGAGTAATGTGTGTGCAAAGCTGTATGAAAGCTCTGTTATACATAATTTTAGTGTAACTTGATCATTTTTTTTTCGCTGTGAAAACATTCGGAAAGCTACGATTCCGCTGTTTCACGTGATATGCGTGGTTTCTCTCTATGACACACGGTCGCGGAGAAAAACCATATAGAAGAACAGGTGTGAATTTGGACGCACTATGCGTCGTTCTGGATGGATTCCTTGGCCTGCTGCTGCATTTTCCCCAAAAAACGGGACAAATTATGTCCCAGGAGAGATTTTTTTTTTCCCGGGACAGCTGATGAAAAAAGAGAACAATTCTGGGAAAAACGGGACGGGTGGCAACTCTAGGCCACACACAGTTGTGTGTGTTGGTGGACGGCTGCTAATGACTCAGTAAAGTCAACAACTCTGATAGTGTGTCTCAAATCACATACTCACGTTAGTACACTTCCATGTAGTATATGCACTATGTACTTATTGCCGTAGTGCGCTAATTTCGACAGGGTAGTATAGTCTTAAATCAAACACAGCCGTTAGCTAGATAGCAAACTAGCATTAGCATTTGCTTTATCGTTCGCGGTACCAAATCATTATAGACTGCTATATGGCTTATACCCGACAACAGTATAGTGGTGCTTAGTGGGCCATTTCCAGTTTGAGAAGTGGTCCCTCCCCTTCAGCTACGTATCCAAGATGGCGACCATTGAGGGCAAGAAGTGTCCATAGTTCCACACTCAACTTCTTGACTGTTTTGAGTGCACCATCCAGTTACTCATAGTGCACTGCATTTTTCCATACTTCTCAGTGTGAACACACTTATGCACTCAAAATATTAGCACGAGTCTTAGCAGGTATCATGTTTATACCTTAGCTACCATCTTAGTTTAGCATGTTAGCATGCTAACATTTGTCAGTGTCTAGTTTAGTTTTGCAGGTATTTGGTCATAAACTAAAGTTTTGGACAAACCTTCCAGTCCACCCAACTATTGGAAGAATCACCAAAGTCACCAGAGCTCATCATCTAGGAGCCACAAATGGCTGCATGAGTTAAATCCATCCAGTCACTGTGGAGATATGTCACAGAATAAGTGAAAACTTTAACTTGTTGGTGACGTTAGAGGAATCGTCAGGGGAGGTTACCAGGACTCATGAATGTCTTCAGGAAATTTTGTGCCGATTCATCCAATAGTTGTTGAGATATTTTCAATCTGGACCAAAGTGTCTGACGTCCCCAGAGCCATGTTGTTAGCATGCTTATCCTACCTATAAGTAGATATAACTCAACCCGTCTGTAATGACTGTAAAACATTTTAAAATGTTAACAAAGTCCTTTAATACCCACAATCACATTTATAGATTGTATTTCGATAAAATCTTTCCGTGTCACCTGAAAGTTGCCACATGACACAAAATGATCCTGACACACTAATGTAATGAAAAAGGAAAATGTCTCAGATCATTAATAGCCACTGCAGAGAAGTTACTGATATCTGTCTGATATTAAACAAGCAGTTGTAGTGAGAGGCCACTGCTTTTCAAGGTGACTGGAAGGGTGGATTGATGAAGCACAAATGTGGGCGACAGTCCAAACATTACAGTGAGGTTGAATATAATCAAGTTTCAGTAAATCAAGACACGCATGATTATAGATCACTCGCCCATCCTTCACCTCCACATTCACATTGTTCAGGGACCTTGAACCAGGGAGCCAGTTTGGATCCTGTCGAGTCCTGTAACTCTGACAACACACACACGTTTACACTGAAACAGAGCTGGTCGATGTGCCTCTGTTGCCTCATAGCTGAAGAATCTGATGTAACACATGCAACACACATCCCACTCACACCCCGAGCCCCTTTTTTAATTTCATCATTTTTAAGCACTGAATAATGAGTTCCCCATGTTGTGTTGTGTTGTGTTGTGTCATGACATAACCCTGCAAATGACTCAATTACATCCGATTAAACACATATGGTTTTGTGGAGCAGACATGTGTAGAGAATAAGTAAGAAACCATTAACTGGAGGGAATTTAACAACCGGAGTACAAGTCGGATTAGATTCTGTAATAAATTTGTTTGTCCTGTCGCTGTGTGTCTCTGCAGAAGGGCTTCACTCCTCTGCACGTGGCTGCAAAGTACGGGAAGATCGAGGTCGCCAACCTGCTGCTGCAGAAGAACGCTCCGGCTGACGCTGCGGGGAAGGTAACGTTGGTGTCCGAGAGACTGATGGTTAAAGAGAGACACAGCACAGTTAATAATCTTATCTGCAACACACACACACACATGTCAAAGTATTCTCCTCATCGCCACACTGCACTGTCTCTACATCACCATCTAACAATCCTTGTGTGTGCACCCAGAGTGGACTAACTCCACTGCATGTGGCGGCGCACTATGATAACCAGAAGGTGGCGCTGCTCTTGCTCAACCAGGGAGCTTCTCCGCATGCAGCTGCGAAGGTAAGAGTCCGTCACAGTGAGTTAGACTGAATGTTCCTTAATGCACTGATGCACCAGAACCTCTCTCCCACTCTCTCTGGCTCTGGGTGAAAGCAGGCTGACCTAGTTTCAGTCACCCACATGCAATTACACCGTGTACTATAGCTGAGCGAAGCTGATTGGCCGCTTGGATCCACTCTAACAGCATCCATCCAGAAAGAGCTGCCACTGGAATTAGCCAGGCCCCAATAACTAGTCTGTGTTTTCAGGCAGTGACAGTGAATCTCCAGCCACCAAAGCTTTATTGGGTCCAGTCAGATGTCTCAGAGGACTAATCCATATCTTTAAATGGTCTCTCAGGTTGTAGAAAGGCCTCTTTACACATAGATGTGACTCTGTATGAAGGTTTGTTTTGTACACGGAGAATAAAATGCTGCGCAACTGTTCAACCAGACTGACAACTGAAAGAGCAAAAACACCTCTGAGTAACAGCTGAATAAGAACAGAAGAAATCATTAGTCGTTGAAAGAAACAGGAAGCTTCACATCAAAGTGTCTGCACATTTAAAAATAAACAATCTTCTGTTTCTTTGTCCCCAGAACGGTTACACTCCGCTCCACATCGCAGCTAAGAAGAACCAGATGGAGATCACCACCACGTTACTGGAGTACGGCGCCACCACCAACACGGTGACACGTCAGGGGATCACGCCTCTGCACCTGGCGGCACAGGAAGGCAACGTGGACATAGTGACGCTGCTGCTGGCTCGAGACGCTCAGATAAACACTGGCAATAAGGTACGACGTCTGTACGGGTGTGTGGGTTTTAGAAGTAGACATGGGAGTAATATTTATGGTGGTTTTTCTGTGCGTTCTATGAACTTGTTTTTAATGGCTTGTACCTTGCTTCAAAAGTGATGACCTTTTTTTTATAGGCCAACCAGGAAGTTAGCGTCAACCTGATTCCCTCGTCAAAAAGCCCCTGGAATTTTTCCATTGGATTTTAGATTACTGCAGAAAATAAGCTCTGCAGCAAACAAACATTTATGATACTTCTGATGACTTCTACTTCTCACACTAGGGCTGCCCCCTCGACTAAGAATTTTCCTGGTCGACCAATAGTCGTCATTTAGGGCCATCAGTCGACTAGTCGCCCGCGTGTTCATGATATGAATGTAATGATTAAATGATATATTTTGGTGGTTTGAGTTGAAGGTGTGAGAAAGAATAGTATCAGTAACATTGTTAACACTGTGCTACATTACAGAGAAATATAAACCGTACTAATGAACCTTCATTAATATAGGCCTATATTTTATCTACAAGTGCACGTCACACACTGAGCGAGCCGCCTGTTAATGACGCTGTGGGCTAATGGGCATGTAGCTACTTCCATGTTTCAGATGATACGTCATGTTTGTAGTCGACCAATGAAGATGAGTTTACATATCACCTTGGGTTCGTCCTTCACCTTCTCAAAATGATCCCACACTTTGGATTTCCTGCCCGACATGTTATTAACTAGCCTGTGGAATAACCGCAGGTACCAGCCCTGGAAATTAACCTGACTCCTGTCTGACTGCTGAGCGTGGACACTTCTTGTGTCTGTCCTTTCAAATTAAAGTCACACATGGTCCAGTCATATAGGTTTTGATTTATTTTGACAAGGCGCAGCTCCTGATAGCGTTTCATGTTTGTTGCAACAAAGCGACCAATGAAATCTTGTTGACCTTCCTGGTTGACTAAGAGCCTGTCCCAACACCCACACTTCCCTAGAAATACTCACTTGCACTTGGTTGTGCGCGTTCACGTTTAGGCTAGTGGTGTTCCAAAACAGAAATGAGGTAGTGGAAGTGGTTTCCAACACTTAAAACCCGCCATAGATTCCAAGGGAGCTTCGACCCACACTTTCAACGAAGTGGGAGATGGAATTTCCCAGAACACCTTGCGAAGTCAGCAACTTCAGTATGGAGTTAGATTTGTGTCTTTATTACATGCGAGAAAATAAATGATATGAGAGAAAAAAAAATGTTTGAGAGAAAAAGTTTTCACACTGATAGCAAAAAATAATAATATTTGAGACTAAAAAAAGTTTTGAGAGAAAGTATTTTGTCATAGAATATAAAAAAAATAATTTGAGATTTAAAAAATGATTTCCCAGAAAAAAAACTTTTTTTTTACTCTCAAATATTATTTTTTTGCTATCAGTGTGAAAACATTTTCTCTCAGAAAAAAATTGTTTCTCTCAAAACATTTTTCTTCTCTCTCTCAAAACCTAAGTCTTTGCTCTCTTGTCAGGATTTTGCTTTCGCTGCAAAAATAATGTCATGGTCTGGGCCACGTTCCTATTGGCTAGTCTCAATTTAATTGACAGCTGGGTGAGGATCGTCTTGGGAGTCGAATTCAACTGAATCATTCATCCACCATGGTGGATTCACCTGCATAGATGTGCCGCGTTATTTGGGAGCGGAGACTCCAATGTTTGGGTATGATGATGACACAGATAATGAATGATTCAGCTGAATTCGACTCCCAAGGCGATCCTCACCCAGCTGTCAATTCGATTGAGACTGGCCAATAGGAACGTGGCCCCGCCCATGACATTATTTTTGCAGCGAAAGCAAAATCCTGACACGAGACCAAAGACTTAGGTTTTGAGAGAGAGAAGAAAAATGTTTTGAGAGAAACGATTTTTTTTTTTTTTTTTTGAGAGAGAGAGAGACAGAGAGAGAGAATGTTTTCACACTGATAGCAAAAAAAAACCCTATTCTTTTTTTATTTTTATTTATTTATTTTTTCCTTGGTTGTCTGCATTTTTTTTACAAACAGCAAGACCTCCTTGATTTTTTGTTCAATAGCAAAAAAATAATATTTGAGAGTAAAAAAAAAGTCTTTTGAGAGTTTTTTTTTCTGTGAAATCATTTTTTAAATCTCAAATTATTATTTTTTTATATTCTATGACAAAATACTTTCTCTCAAAACTTCTTTTAGTCGCAAATATTATTATTTTTTGCTATCAGTGTGAATTCTGGCAGTGTCAAATATTTTTATTTCTCTCATATAATTTATTTTCTCGCATGTAATAAAGACACAAATCTAACTCCATACTTCCGCAAGTTGTGGAAAACAATTTGTTTCTGTATGATCAAAATGTAGGCTATACAAACAACAGATGGTTGGACTAGCGCACACTCATCAGCAACTCGGTTGAACACAGCGTCAAAATATTTAAACAAATCGACTTACCCGAACAAAATCGATCAGTACTAGAAGACGTCGTAGGCGCCTCCTGTTTTCAGCATTTCTTCACTGTTGATTCATCAGACAGAGAAGAATAAACATAGCACACGCCACAACACAAGCACTGGAGCCTGCATTTTCATTGTGTTGCTACTACGTGTGACTTATGCCTGCACATCGGCTACTCCATTTGCAGGAAGTGGTGTCTGATTTCTTAGGGAAAGGTCTCTACCCAAATATTTCTCACTTCCCTCATCAAGGGCTATCTCGCAAACGAGGGCACTCAATACCAAGTGGAATATTTAAGGGGTAGAAATGGGATTGGGCCTAACTTTGGTTGACTATAAGGGGGCAGCCCTAGTACTTACTGATGACGTAGAACAAAATGTGAAAGTCTCATAACCGTGTGTTAACCACAGACCTTACTTCAGTCATCGAACCAAAAAAACCCCAATGATTTCTGAGACGAGAGAACCAGGAGTGCTAAAATGCTAACTCATTTCAGGGTTTTATGACTCAGTCCTGCAGCAGTTTATTGGTCACCACAGTGCACAGACTTCTGGATTAGAGTGTACTGTATTCAACACCTTTTCATCACTCAATCTGTCTTAGTCTGTATATTTAACTGTCTGTCTGTGTGTCCTCAGTCTGGTCTGACTCCGCTCCACCTGGCTGCTCAGGAGGATAAAGTCAACGTTGCTGAGGTGTTAGTCAATCAGGGAGCAACTATAGACCCAGAGACCAAGGTAACGCTGCAAGTGTCTTCTTGTCCTTTTGCTCAAGTGATTATTAAGCAAAATGCCAAATATTCACTGCTTCTTAAATTTGAGGATTTGCTTATTTTCCCTGATTTACACTGCTGTCATTAGAATATCTTTGGGTTTTGGACTTTTGGTTGAACAAGACATGTCATCTGAGGATGTCGCTGAGAAGTATTGTAGTATAGTACATTATAGTAATGGATTACATTTCCCTTGGGGGATCATTAAAGTATTTCTGATTCTGATTCCAAAATGATTTTCTGTACCATCAGCTGGGATACACTCCTCTCCATGTGGCCTGTCACTATGGCAATGTGAAGATGGTCAATTTCCTGCTGAAAAACCAGGCGAGGGTCAACGCCAAGACCAAGGTAACCATTCAGTGTGTGTGTGTGTGTGTGTGTTTATTCCTTTAACTGTGAGCAGAAGAGATTTGAGCTGTGTCATATTCTCAGACAGACTGTGTACGTCTGTGGGAGCAGATTAAATGTATTTAACTCTCACCTTTTTATTTCCCTCCTCTGCAGAACGGTTACACTCCTCTCCATCAGGCTGCGCAGCAGGGACACACACACATCATCAACTTGCTGCTACATCACGGAGCATCGCCTAACGAACTCACAGCTGTCAGTACACACACACACACACACTTGGATATTTTCAGTTTGTAGCTTGTAATCTGTTCTCTTTTTCCAAATTCTACCAAAAGTACCAAATACTTTGTACTCGTCTAAACACAAGGCATCAAAGACCTTTGATGGTTATGATTTTAGTCGACACTCAAGTCCTTGTCAAGTTGATCAAAAGAAGAGCAGTAGTTTTGATTACCTCGTACTGTTTCCATCCCATCACTCACCTCTGTTTTGTTGTGTTGTGTTTTTTTGTCCAGAATGGGAACAGCGCTCTGTCCATCGCCAGGAGGCTCGGCTACATCTCTGTAGTTGACACACTCAAAGTGGTGACAGAGGAAACTCTGACAACTCAGGTATGCATGTGCTTCTGAGAGTTTGTATTTGAACATATCATGCGTGGGCCTGGTTCACTGAAATTTATTTAGATCTTTTGTGATTTAAAACACTGGCTTTAGAAATTTTTTCTTATTGTATTTTCTAGTAATGTTAACTTCCATCCGAATTCTTTTTATATACCACACACTGAAAAATGTCCACATGAACTTTCCATAAATTCTCAAATAGCAGCTGAGGTCGTGATTTAAAACGGTATTTTTTTGTTTTAGAGATTGGGCCTTTGTGCCTACCCTTGGCACAAATGTCCAGGTGCTGTCAGGTTGAAGATGTTTGTGAAGCATCCATATGTTAGAATTTGTAGTTTCTGTACAGCAACACCCATATTTAAAGGATCGTCTACTATCATAGCTACACATGAGTTCGTACAGACATGGATGTAAACTGTGACTGCAACGTTCAGGCTCATGGAAGTATACAAACATGAGGCGGTAATTCTTGTTTTGTTCTTATTTTGCTGTGTTAGGGATGTTTCTTAGCGGGGCACTAAGGTGAGGTTGGTCCTTTTAAAATATTAGTGACCAGGTGCCAAACTATAAGCAGCACACACCCGAGAGTAAAGTATTAAAACTGCAGACAAAGCACTGAAAAAACGCACATATAGCGAGGCAAAACGCCAAACTCTTAAAGCTCATTTCAAAATGAGAGTTAATCAGGGGATGGCTTTCACCACCCATCCATCCATTTTCATCCGCTTATCTAAAGCTGGGTCGTGGGGGCAGCAGGCCGAGCAAAGCACCCCAGACGTCCCTCTCCCCAGCAACACTTTCCAGGTCCTCCTGGGGGACCCCAAGGTGTTCCCAGGCCAGATGAGATATGTAATCCCTCCAGCATGTTCTGGGTCTGCCCCGGGGCCTCCTACCAGTGGGACGTACCTGGAACACCTCTAACAGGAGGCGCCCAGGAGGCATCCTGATCAGATGCTGAACCACCTCAACTGACCCCTTTCAACATGAAGGAGCAGCGGCTCTACTCCGAGCTCCCTCCGGATGTCCGAGCTCCTCACCCTATCTCTAAGGCTGAGCCCAGACACCCCACAGAGGAAACTCATTTTGGCTGCTTGTATCCACGACCTCATTCTTTCGGTCACTACCCAGAGCTCATGACCATAGGTGAGGGCTGGGACGTAGATGGACCGGTAAATCGAAAAGCTTCGCCTTCTGGCTCAGCTCCCTCTTCACCATGATGGTCTGGTGCAGCGCCCACATCACTGTAGATGCTGCACCAAACCGCTGATCCATCTCAAACATTCTACCCTCACTCATGAACAAGACCCCGAGATACTTGAACTCCCTCGCTTGAGGCAGTAACATCTCCCAATCCAGAGGGGGCAATCCACCAGTTTCGCCAGAGAACCATGGCCTCAGACTTGGAGGTGCTGACTCTCTCCCAGCTGCTTCACACTCGGCTGCAAACTGCCCCAGTGCATGCTGGAGGTCACGGTGTGATGAAGCAAACAGAGCCACATCATCTGCGTAACGCAGAGACGCAATTCTGAGGTCCCCAAACCCGACCATTTCCTCCCCTTCTTAGTCATTAGGTCAAGGTCCGCACTGTTTAATATTCTTAGCGTCACACTTGTGTTTGGCCATGTCGCTGAGCTAGTTTGTCAAGCTGTTAGTTACTCACTCTACAGCAGGAAACAGCCCTTAAAAATAAAAGCTCTGTGTTGGAAAATCACTGCTGAATGGACCTGGGACCCCACTTTTGGACTACGACCAACCAGTTAGGAACCACTGGTGTACGTTAAAGTTTTTTAAGTTTATATATAACTTGTTTTTTATCATATGTCTCCCTGTTTTCAGATCTGCTTATTCTGTCAATGCCTAGTTGTTAGAAATGCTCTCACTAATTACTTGCACTCAGCTCTAGTTTGCCTTTCTAAATTAAGCTGGTGTCGAGGAGACTACCTGCAGTATTGCTTCACAATAAAAGCCTCCCAGTGGCTCAAAGGGCACAGACCCTCTCCTTCCTGGTAGGTTTTTAATACGAAACATCTGTGTTGGATTGTAATTTCACGGTAGCTTAAAACAGATTTTAAAAAAAATAAACATCAAAGTGGAAGCAATTGGAAGTAATGAATGAAAGCAGTGTTTAACAGAGAAACCGTAAAGTTCTACTGACTGGATAATTATTGTGGAAATTTGCCATGTGAGCCATTAAAGTCCAGATGATTCCACTCCTCCATCTTTGTTTCTGTTCATGCTGGTCATTATGTGAATAATTGCTTTCTAGCTTTCTGTGATCATTGACTGTTTGGATGGTGTTTCTGTGCGACAGACGGTGATAGAGAAGCACAAGATGAACGTCCCAGAGACCATGAACGAGGTGCTGGACATGTCCGACGATGAAGGTAAAGATTCACTTCACAGCTTATTGATGTTAAAGTCAGTTTAACTTTAACTCCATCAGATTGTTCTCCTCACACAACCTGTCCTCGTCACTAAATCCTGGAGAGACGTCTGTAAAATCTCAGGTTGAGTCATATTTGGCTTTCGGGGCTGGAATAGCATGAGATCCCTGTGCTCCTGTGGTTGCCATATTTCCCCACTGTTGTCATGGAAACAGTTATTTTGTTGTTGCTGCTGAGCTTTTTTATTTCCCGTCATTAACTTATTTCATCATTTGACATTTTAGCTTCAATCGTGATTTAAGCCTTTCTTTCCAAAGTGACACATCCAGCCTCCGAACGATTATTCATTCATCAGTTATTAATTCTTTCTTTGCCTTTAATTTTGTTATAAATATGATTTTCCCATATTTTTGGTTCCCTTTTTTTCTCTAACCCTCTCCTCCATCCCAATCACACAGTCTGTAAAGCCAATGTCCCCGAAATGATCACAGAGGACTATATATCTGATGTGGAAGAAGGTATTTTTCATCTTTCTTCATCTTTTTGTTCTTTAACTCTTAACTTCTTTCACACCTCTTTCTGCATGTCGTCCTCTGTTCTTAACATTTCCAATCTGTGGCTTCTCTTTGTCTTTGGTGTCAAGATTTATATGTTCTTTGTGTCATTTAATATAGTGAAATATCATGATGGTTTGGGCGATATCACTGGTATTGTATCTCAACTCAGTTGTCAGGGTAAACATTGGCACTGCGTGTTTCTGCAAACCATGGATACGTCACAATTGTACATTATTATGAGGCGGATATGTTGAAAGATTACGTTTCAACAGTGCTGTGGTTAACGTGGTGAGGTTTAGGCACAGTCTTTTGGCTGCTGTGAAACTGCGCCTATGTAGAGCAACAAAAAAGTTTATCTTTACAACCAAGAAAGGACGGCAGAGGAGATACCTGCACACCAACACAACTGGGCTGGACAGCCACAAAAAAGCTTCACAGGCTGAGATCAATGCATGGTTATGGTTTGAAAAAGATCACTTTTAGATTTAAAACACTTGCCTTTAGAGGCTAAAAAGCTGCAGGAAACGTGGCCATATCTCTGTAAAAAACAGCTGCATTTTGTGGCACAATTCTGGCAGGAAACACAGTGATGTCTCGGTAAAAACACAACCACTTTTGGTTTTACTGTCCCAGCTGAAAACGTAGTGATGTCTCGGTAAAATACAACCACTTTTCGTGGTACTATTCCATTAGGATACGCAGTGATGTCTTGGTAAGTAACAACCACTTTTTGTGCCACAATCCTGGCAGGAAACTACGGAAGCGTATTGCATTCACTTGACAACTGGAGAAACACTGCAATGTCCAGCAGATCTGAATGGGCTTTTCATCTGAACAACCGCAAAGTCTTAAAGTGCCCACGTAAAGTCGACAAACTAATGATAATGCCATCTATATGACTTGGAGACAAGAGTTTCTCCCAGTGTCTCAACCCCAGAACAAAGTAAAACTGGATTAAACTAAACAAGCGGGTCATGTTTGCTTCCATTATATCGAGCTCTCAAGAAAGGAATGAAAGTGTCTGTTCTATTGCTCTCTTAACTCAGAAAAAAATACTCAGAAAAATAGAAAAAAAATTACCACAAAAAACAGAAAAAATTACACTGAAAAACTGAAAAAAAAAATTACCATGAAAAACAGAAAAAAATTACCACAAAAAAAACAGAAAAAATTACACTGAAAAACAGAAAAAAATACCACGAAAAACAGAAAAAAAATTACCACGAAAAATGAAAAAATTACACTAAAAAACAGAAAAATAAAAAATTACTCTGAAAAAACAGAAGAAATTACGCTGAAAAACAGAAAAAAAAAATTACCATGAAAAATGAAGAAATTACACTGAAAAACAGAAAAATAAAAAATTACTCCGAAAAATCAGAAAAAATTACTCAGTAAAACAGATTTTTTTTTTTTTTTTTTTATTTGTCAAGTGAATGCAATACGCTTCCGTAGGAAACACAGTGATGTCTCAGTAAAAAAAAAAAAAAAAAGTCACTTTTCGTGGCACAATGCTGGGAGGAAACACAGCAGTGTTTCAGTAAAATAACCACTTCTGGTGGCACTATCCTGGCTGTAGATGCCGAGATGTCTCTGTAAAAAACAACCGCACCATCCCCACTGGAAATGCAGCGATGTTATGATATAAAGCAATTGCTTTTCGTGGCACTATCCTGGCTGGAAACATAGCGATGTCTCGGTAAAAAACGACTGCTCTTTGGCATCATCGCCATCGGAAATGCAGTGATGATATGGTATAAAGCAAACGATTTTCGTGGCACTATCCCAGCTAAAAACGTAGTTATGTCTCGGTTAAATACAACTGCTTTTTGTGGTACTTTTTCATTAGGATACGCAGCAATGTCTTGGTAAATGACAACCACTTTTTGTGGCACAATGCTGGGAGGAAACACAGCAGTGTTTCAGTAAAATAACAACCACTTTTTGTGGCACTATCCTGGCTGTAGATGCCGAGGTGTCTCTTTAAAAAACAACCACTTTTTGGCACCATCCCCACTGGAAATGCAGCGATGTTATGATATAAAGCAAGTGCTTTTCGTGGTACTATCCTGGCCGGAAATGTAGTGATGTCTCGGTAAAAAACAACCACTTTTCCCGACACTATCCCGGCAGTAAATTCAGCAAGGTCTCAGTATAAACCAACCATTCTCAACTGCACTATCCCAGCTGGATATTTAGCGAGGTTTCTTTAAAAATCAAACACTTTTCGTGGCACAATCTTGCCAGGAACCACCTTTTTTTTGGGCACTATCCACAGTGAAAACACAAGGAGGACTTGCTAAAAACAACCGGTTTTGTTGTTTGTAATTCTCACCTAGAGGTCACACCATCCACCTTCCCAGTGACAGAGTCAGCTCATATATTGTGTCCACTTTGAAATGCTGATATGACACATATGAAACATGCAGTGGTTTTCTGAAACGTACAAAGCCAACATTTTCTTATCTGGCGACTGAGCTGTATTTTCTACAAGGCTATCAAGCTTTTAAATCACAGTTTTTCTGATTAATTTTTTCAAGCGTAGTCCCAAACCGTCGCACTGTACACATGTGACACATCATGCTGTACTTCAGCACTTTCAGTTGCTGCTTCCCGCTCCCACTCTCTCATGCTGTGTCGCTGTAAAGCATCCAGTATTTCCATTCACCGAAATTCAGGGAATATGCCCTTTTTTCTCTCCTGGTTGCCATGCCAACTGTCTGCATATGGCGTTGTGGCGTGTGTGACAGATTTCTTTTCACACAGCGAAGTAAACGGCTCACACACACACACTTGACCCTTTGTCTTCAGAGGGCTTGTCAGTGACGCTTCCATTGTAGTTTCACACATTCGAGCCAAAGCAAACATGGTGTCAGCTGCTGTGTGTGTGTGTGTGTGTATCTCTTTTCTCTCGGTCTCTAGTGAGGCTAAAAAGCAGCTGAACTTGAACTTTTCAGTCACTCACTCTGTCTAATGAGACTGGGGGGAGGAAAGAAACCAGAAACTGATATATTGAGGTCTTTTCAATCAATAGCTTGTTTCATTTCCGCCCTGCAGCATTTTTGCTAAAGTCTGTGTTGATGGTAAAGAATGGTTGCTTTCAGTTTCAGGCAGTCACATGTTTAATGCACATTCCAGTTTTTATAGCTGCTAAATGTCAGCAGCCTGCAGAAATATACATTTCCTCGACAGAAGTTTACCTCTCCACAGCGGCTAAAGAAATACTGCACCACAAAATAATTATTTAGGTATCAATCAGTCATCTGGTGTTACACTGAATTTGTGAGGAAAACTGTTGCATCCCTCTACAGTGAACGAAGAATCCAAAAACTGTATTAAAACATCTGTTTACAAACTCTCACACAAGTCATGCAGTATTATCCACATCTCATTAATCACTGTTTTTGCTACAACATTAAAAACATTAAAAATTAAAACACTTCTGCATAAATAGTCTCAGGACTGAAATACAAGGGGCACAGACGCTGCACGACTTGTCTCTCACCCTCACCTGGGCGACCCAGCCGGGGGGTGATCAGTCCCCGACTTGTGTCCAAGTGGCCCACTACTTCATGGATCCCCCCTCCGGATCCACAGCCTCAAGGATGTTTTTGACGGTTCTTTTGCACAGCTGACCTTTTACTCCAAGGAGTTTGAGGGTTCGACGCAATGACTGGCCAGCGAATCCGCAGCACCCAACCTTGATTGGTTCAACACGGGCTTTCCAGCTTTTGTGAACTCCTTTTACCATAAAACTTCAATTAGTAGCCCGGGCTATTATTTGCTTAAATAACTGAACTCAACAGACTTATATATGGGACAGGCCTTTAATTCCTTTCACACAAAACTGTTGCTCAGCAAAGATGTGTTATAAAACAATCACAACTTGGATTAAATCAAAAACTCTTTTGATTCTTTTGATCTGAGGACCCTTACGGACTAAAGGAGTGGACACATATTCTGACTTAATGACAGCTTCTGAGGAAGGTTTTTCATCATGCTGGTAAATGCAAATGCATTAAAGTCTTCTGTGGTGCTCATGGTTCCAGTAAAATGAACTGAACGACTGATTCGTGGAGAATCTAACACCGGATTTCCACTGGATGCGTGTCCGTTGCGGAACGGCAGCGCTGGTTATCCACTGCGTGCTCCGCCGTCCGTCAACACCCACCGGGTGCACTGCCATGATTAACATCTCCTCGTCCATGGTGTCAACGGGGTGAAATGACGTCTGAAAACCTCTGAAATGTTGACTTCAGGCCTGCCTCTGCCCATTATGTAGTTTTCAAGGTGTAGTGCAGGGAAATATGATCCGCTGGGAACACTGTGTATTTTATTTTGAAAATTAACCGGATGTTTTATTTTGTTTCTGTGCATGACTTCCTGCCCCGCACGATCTGCTCTGTGCTGAATTGCTTTGTTGTGCTCTGGCGTTTTGCATAAATAGAAGTCCTGCGTATCTGTTGTGGAGGGCTCCGGAGTGCCTCAGCTGAGACAGAGCCGGAACGCAGCACAGCCGCAGCCGGTGGAAACACACACATTGACTAGAATTGAATCCTATCGGCTCCGTTGCCGTGCCAGAGCGGAGACGCAATCAACACGCATCTGGTGGAAATAGGCCGTAACCGAGCTAACAATATGCAGCATCTCCATATTGACAAAAGTTTAAACATTTATATTTAGTTGTTGGTAGTCAACAACCTGTTTAACACATCCAAAGAACTTCCATAAAAATCAACTGCTTGGCAACCAGACCAGGCCTCTATTAGAGACAGGCATTTATTTGTCACTAGTAAAAGGGAGTGGGTGTTAAATTAGAATTAAGCTTTTAATTGAAGTTTTACGGTATTTAAATTCATCGAGAATTTTCTCTGTTTTTGGATTCTTCGTTCACCGTGGGGACATGCAAGAAAAAAACATTTTCTTTGCTGATTCAACGTAACACGGGGCGAGTAACTGAGTAAGTGTTCCTTTATGTAACTGAATGGACAGATATAATGAGATTAGCAGGTGAACTATAGTCTGTACCGATCAGAGACTTCTGCTCGCTGCCATTTAGATTTAACACAATATAGAAATGCAGTATAATGTCACAGTAGATGTCTACATATACCGGCCTGTGTGGGTCTGACCCATGAGTTATGGCTCTGTACTTCAATATTTAGTCTTTCTCTGAAGATGTGCTGAGCTGATGACAGAAAAGTAAAATGTAAACAGGCTCTGTGTCACTAATATTCCTGCGTGCATGATTAAGAAATATTGCAGTTGTTCCAAAGGGATGAAAAGGTATATTTCTGCTTTATTTGAACAGAGGTGGATGTTGGAAACATCTCCATCAGCTATTCCTGTGAGTCCAGAGTACGGTGATGTCGCTGTAACTAACTCCAGTAACCCACAGTCTGACGTGTTGCAGCTACACTCATGAACTAAACTCATTCTGTATATTTCTGTGCACGTTTGCCTTCACAAAAGTTGTTGCTGTTTTGCGTGAGTCGAGTGTCCCATCTTTAATTTCGGGTCTAAAAATACATCAAGTGTAACTGTAGGCACGCACACACACACACAGCTGCGTAACAGACATGGTTAACGTCTCCAATAACACACACACACAGTCCGTGATCTAAATCCGGACGACCCACAAACCCTCTGCAGTCTGTTATAAACTGCTGAGAGTTTTTCCACAGTTGTAAAGTAAATTAATATGTGGTTAGCGTGGATATAAAATCTGAATCATAAGATAACTTAACTGTTTATAAGGCAATAACATAGTGACCACATGCTGGCTCATTTTAGATGCCAAGTTTTCTGCATGTTCCAAAAACTGATGTCGCACTTCATCAAATGTTTCCAGTGCTGCTTTTTAACGATGACCCAAAATCTGTCTTATGTTTTAATCTTCGTCCCTTTAATGCTGGTCCATAGCTTTGACTTTTTATATTCTAATTATAACACACTAGCTAGAGAAAATATTTAAAAATAAAAGAAGAGCAGTTATTAGAAATCAGAAATACTCTAGTGATCCCCGAGGGGAAATTATGATTTGTCACTCTGATGTAAAGAATAGATAATTATAAGTAGTAAGAATAAGAGTATGAAATAGACGTACATAAATACAAAGCAATAAAATAGAAGTGAAAATGTGAATTTAAAATAAAAGTGAATGTGCATTATGCTACAGTGTTTAACGATAGTACTTAAGATATTAAAAATATTAAGAATAAAATATAAATCGTCACTGTTTTTACGCTGTAAATGTGAAAATTAAATTGCAATTACATCAATTGAGTAAAACAAGAATAGAATAATAATAATAAGAAGAAAAATGTGCTTTGTATGTTGAATTAGCGTCTGACACTGTGAGGGAGGAGGAGTTGTACAGGCTGATGGCGACAGGCAGGAACGACTTCCTGTGGTACTCTGTGGTGCATCTTGGGGACGGAGTCTGTCACTAAATGTGCTGCTGTGTTGGACCAGTACATCGTGGAGTGGCTGGGAGACATTGTCCAAGATGACACGAATCTTAAGCGCCTTTTACACTGCCAGATTTTTGGCAAAATTCAGGCCGTTTTGCCGGCAAGCTGCGAGCGTTTAGACACACAGAGCCGGATTGGCGAGTTGATCCGGGGTGCCAAATTTTCCGCCTCATAGGGTAGACATATTAGCAGAACCTTTGTGGTATAAAAAGAACAAGGCAGCCTTCTGCCACAGGAGGAGCTGCTGATGACTTGTGGGAGGAGCTGTTGATGACGCCGCACGTGTGACCCACTGGCGGTGGATAAACAGAAAACAGCTGATAGCAGGAATTAGCGAGCAGCTAGTAGCAAGAGGGAAACACAAACCTGACAGACACTGTAAAGATGAGCAACTGGGGAGACAAGGAATTGCGCGCCCTCCTTGTCCTCGCAAACAAAGAGGCCATTAACCGTCAGATGACGGGGACGGTGAAGAACGGGCCGACTTATGAGAGAATCGCCGAAGGACTGACCAGCCGCGGCTTCCCTCCCACATCACTGTTTACGTCACACTCTGAGCTACACGTTTTGTTACTTGCTCACGCCCCCTATTGCCCCGAAAAAGGCGCATTCTGTATAAACAAAAGTAAGTAGGCGGCATTTTGCTGCACTCCCTGATTTTGTTTTTATACTGCCAATGCTGAAAAAAGACTGATTGGACTTTCCTGCAAATTTGCACAATTCCTATTTGAAAAGAGCTTTAGACAGCATCCTCCTCTCTGACACTGCCACCAGAGAGTCCAGCTTCACCCCATGACGTTACTGACCTTCGAATCAGTTGTTGACTCTGTCGGCGTCTGCGACCCTCAACCTGCTGCCCCAGCACACAACAGCTAACAGGAGAGCACTGGCCGTCACAAACTCATATACATCCTTAGCATTGTCCGGCAGATGTTGAAGGACCTCCTCAGAAAATAGAGGCGGCTCTGGCCGGTCTTGTAGAGGGCTTCAGTGTTCGTAGACCAGTAGGTTTACGCTTTGACTTCATCAGACTAAGTTGAGACTTAATTTGTCATCAATATATTTTTTCAATCTGTTATGTAGGATAAAGCGTCGTCAATTTTTTAAATCAATTTTTCTGAGCTTTTGCACCACGAACAACGAGGATGATTAAACAACAACTTGGAGTTTCTGAAGAGCGTTTTTGGTCCGAACCAATACAACAGACCAATACAACCTTGACAAAGGCGGCCCATATCAGTTCATATCCGTTCATACCTTTCACAATAAAAGCCCTACGCATATACTCTGCGTAACTGTTCAGCAAAAGGGACTCAGAGTCAGAGCTTTTCCCTGAAAGGAAACTCAACAGAATAGTTAACAGTTGCTCAGGCTACACAGCATCTTACCTCAGACAGACTGCTGGACGATACTTTAGGTCAGCAAGATCCCAGTTGCCGCATATTTGCATCGCTGCCAAACTAAAGCAGTAAACAGTTTGGATGCGAAATATTTGCAGGCGCAAGTATTTTGCATTTTTATGTTGTTAACTCATCACATCCCCGGGGTGTAAAGGCCTTAAGACATGACTTACTGTGGACTTGACCTGACCCTTGAATGTAAAAACATTCAGTGTTATGTTGTTTAAATGTTCCGCAGTCAGACCTGAAAGACTTGCACACTGACTTGTAAGTTTTCTTATGAGAATTTGAGCCTTGACTTGATTCTTGAGACCCAACAGTGCCCTTTGAAAAACAACATGCAAATGCAATGTAGTGAAATGCAATGTGGCTGGCTCCAACGCTACAGTTAAAACAACGTGCTTATGTCACAAGTGCAAACACGCAATGTGCAGCCTGGTGAATCACAGTGCTGCAAAGTTAATATAGAACTAGCCTGGGACGGTGCAGCCCTCAGCCAAGGCCAAATGCCCCGTCTCACCATGTTAATGAAAGTGTAAAATAATTCATGTATGTAATTCAGATCCAGTCCAAACTTCAATGAGTTCTTCCTCGGCCCATGCTGCACCTTTTTACCAAGTTTCATGCAAATTGGCTCAGTAGTTTTTTTATAGTCCTGCAAACAAAGAAACAAATTGAAAACATGACCTCATGGGCAGAGGTAAAAAACAGCAGCATCCATCTTTATCAATTTAGTTACACATATCACTGCTGTATGATTGACCCTCCATGTTCACCATGGAGGCATGCAAGTAAGAAATGTACAAATTCAGCATAACACAGGGCGAGAGATCGATATACAAGGTAAGGTAAAACTTAAATGTCCTGGGGGGCAATTTGAGATATAGACAGTAGTCATAAGTAAAACAAAACACATAGAATCCAGAATCACACACTGTCAGGGGTAAATCATGGACGATTAGTGGTCACCGCTGGTTAAGATAAGTGATAGCAGACGGGACAAAGGACGATCTGTGACGCTTAGTGCTGCATTTAGGGAGGCAAAACCTCCGCCCTGATGGAAGCATCTGAAACCCAACATGGAGGGAATGTTGAGAGTCTGAGACAATAGACCGAACTTTAGAGGTGACCCTCTCTTCATACAGATGCTGGAGGTTATTGAATGTAACACCAGTGATCTTACAGCACAACTTGACCACTTTGTCCAACTTGTCATGGAAACTCCTCAACTTCCTTAAAAGGAACAGGCGTTGGTTTGCCTTCTTACAGATGCCGTCAGTGTTCAAGATTCAAAATTCAACCTGTCATCTAAGGGTGTTTTCACATATAGTCCTTTTTAAATGAACCTAACTCATTCCTCTTAAAGTGCATCAAAAACTGGACCAACACAAAAGGGGCTCAGTTCTTCTTGTGTCCACAGTCAGTACATTTACATGCAGCTTGAGAGGATCGAGTTATTGGCTTAGTGTGGCTGAAACCGGACTTTTAAATGCGTCAGCTTAGTCCGACTGAAATTGGACTATCCGTAGCTCGACTAACACACCCAGATAATTCGATTGAGAATGGAAGTACTGCTGCATGTATCCACTCAGTCCGACTGGAGTGGGACTCAGCGTTCTGCACATGCACCACCTTTTTCTTTCGCAAGCTTTCACCCGGAAGAAGGAGGAGATGACGTAGCAGCAGCAGTTCAGTATATAGCAGTGCAGTAACTCCCGGAAAAACAAACAAACAAACAAACACCATGGCGACTGAGAAGCAGAAGAAGTGCTTCTGGACGGACGAGGAAACTTCATGCTCCCACAGCTAGCTTCCTCTTCGGGTCAACCGGAACTAGTTCAATATGCACTGTATTAAAAAGGATACAGTCAGACGTACTTGGTCAGAAATTCGATTTTCCCTTCTGCATGTATACTCAGACAAGACAAGAAGTCCAACTTGATTCATTAGCCGAGCTATGAGCTTAGCTCACCTACTGCGTGCATGTAAACGTACTGATTGTCAGTTCATTAGAAAGAGGACTGCTGTAGACTGTTGCCGTTTGATGTATTCTACATTCCACATCTAGAGACGTGCAGTATCTTCCGTGGACCAAACTACTCCTGGTCCTGCGTTCTTGCAAGTGTTACAGGCCAACGTGGTTTCGCCTGTTTTTTCAAGCGTCCCAGTGCAACAGCATGTGATTTAGAGGGCTGAATACACGCCAAAGAGCAAAGCGAACCTGGAGCCCTTTGTGTTCACAAGACACAGGTTAAGTGAACCGCACTGCGGACTTGAAGCAGACTTGAAGCGAACCTCCCAAGGTGGTCTGAGTTCGGTTCGCTTCAGAGGGCTCTGAGTTCTCTTGGAGTGTTCACATATGTGCAAAACATGTTGAGTCACAGCTCAGAGTCCACTTAAGGCTAGCTCACATTACACGATTTCCACGCGGATTTTGCGTCGCGGAGACTATTGTAATCTTTTGAGAGTTCATACCTGGTGACGTGTGTTTCTGTCATCGGGAGTCTCGGCAACTTCATTACGACCTGTGTGTGCACACCAGAAGATTTCTCCACCGAGTCCTCGCCGACAGAGCCCCAGATACCGCGGTGACGTCACCAAACTGGATATTCATCCCAGTGTTGAATCAGATCTGCCTCCAGGGCCTGGGTCCAAACACAACGCGCTCCCCGTGATCCTGTGGACGCCGCCATTGTTGTCATTGCTTGCCGGCTTGTCAGTGTTGCCAGATCTTGGGAGAGAAACAAGCAACCAGTGCTATGGAAACAAGCCCAAAAGAAGCGACTCCACTTTAGAAACAAGCCCAAAAAAACGAAACCCAACTACCAATATTTGTAAGTGACTTTACAAAAAAACAAGCCCAAAGTCGCGGCTAATAAGCGAACCTGGCAACCCTGCGGCTTGTCCTCCTCACATTTCTTCCGTCCCTCTGCGTGCTGACGTGGGACGTATCCCGCCTCTCATTGGCTGATGCTCTTTGTCAGTCATGTCAGACTTCTCCAGTTTTCTAGCATGCCAGATATCCAGTCCCAGTCACAGACGAGGGGGCGACTTGCTCGTAGGCTTGTTCACACATGAGGACTCATCGTGGCAGACTATCTGCCGACTCACCTCCGACCCAAGGTGGCTCTCAAGATCCTTGAAAATTGTGTAATGTGAACTAGGCTTCAGAGGGCTGAAAAACACCCTTAGACAGTGCCCAGATACATTTTGTGGGTAAAGTATTCTTAATAGGATAGCTACACTAGTAAAGACAGACAAGCAGACAGATTCTGTTGTGTGAACCCATCTGGAGTCGTTTTGAGGAAATCCTTTGCAGAACTGTGAATTCCTGCGATCACTCTTCTGGAGGTGACAGCAGACGTTGTTAGGTAGACGTGTGAGTTGACACACGGAAGCGGCAGGAGGTTGAAAGATGCAGAGGATGAAGTAATGTGTGAAACACTGACAGCGAAGAATCTGTGCTATTTAGCAGATGGAGAGATAAACAAGCAGACAGACAGGCAGAGCGAGAAACAGACAGACAGACAAGACGACACACAAACAAAACATGAAGGGAAATAAATGGTGAAGCAGAGCAGCGAGGATGATACTGTGCTCTATACATGCTGCGTTGGTAGAGTTTAGATGTTAGACAACTTAGTCTGAGTCACACACCCACTTACTATTTCTGTCCTGCAGTGAGCTCTAGGTGTCTGTCCCACACACACACACACACACACACACACACACATGCACACACACACTGGATAATCCTAGAGCAGGGTGGGTAGGCGGGAGAAAGCTGATCTGTTTGTGTGAGCATCGGGCTGTGAAAGAGAGACAGGCAGTGTGTGGGTGTGTGTGTGCGTGTGTGTGTGTGTGTGTGCAGCACGGAGGGAGCGACAGAGAGTTGAAGGAAGTTGGAGAAAAGTTAGCTGAAGGTGTGAATCCTGCAAACTGGACTTTAGGCTGGATGAAGTGCTTTAAAGCAGGAGGTGAGTGGCGGCTCGGCCAGGAGGAGGTTTGGAGGCTGAAATGAGACGAGGGTCCCGGTGAATGGGCTGGAATGTGTCCAGATGGGGTCTGTAAAGTGCGAGGGGAGAAAGTTTGGAGGGGGGGAGGGGTGCTGTAGCAGCAGGGGATGAGGGGACAGGAGGGTGAGGCGGGGGTCTCCGGTGCTTTGTGGTCTGTGGAATGCCTTCCTTTTCTTTCCTCTGTTCGTCCCTCTGCCTGCATGCACTTGCTCCCCTCTCAGCCTTTTTAACTCCTCCTCTCCTGCCTTCGCTCTTTCAACCCTGCGGTCATCAGTTCATCATCTACAGTAACTCTAAGGGGAATAACATGCTGCTCACTGTTTTCCTGTAACGTATGTTTCAGTTTCTTTTTTTATGGCTTTAATGATCTGTTTGTGTTTGCTGTGTGTGAAGTGTTTTTATTTACTGGAAACGTCTTCTACATGAGTGTGTGGTCGGTCACTTTCTGTAGATGTAAACCACCAAACTAACCTGACGCATGAAGTTACTGACAGCAGCACTGTTTGTTGTTTGCAGGCTTTACTGTTAACATGTTTGTGTCATCTGGGCACTGGGACAAAAAGGCTTTAGTGGCAGCAGAGACGTTTGTTTGTGTGTTTTGTTGGACCACAGCTGAACTGGAAAACAGCCTCTGGCCAGAGGCTGCATTGATCTGTCTGTCTAAAAGAGCTGCTCTGTTATGGTCTGCACGCAGATGGAGAGTAGGCAAACATTTTACATTTGTATTCATACTGGTGCAGCGCTGGTTTAAAACATGCCTGGTCAGAACGGACCAACTGTTTGCACTGTGTGTTTCTGCTCGTACAAACAAGTTCAACACTCAAAACTGCACTTTCTTAGATTTATTATAATATTTACCTGAAAAATATTGAATTATCTTGCTAATCTAACTCAGTGTACCCTGAAATAGCTAATGAAATTTCCCAATTGGTTACAAATTCAGATTTCACTCACAAAATATAACAATTAAATTACTGTAAAACTACCGTAAATCAGTAGCCCGAGGTATTATTTGCTTGAATAACTAAAATCAGCAGGCTTATATTTGGGACAATTCCTTTCACACAAAACTGTTGCTCAGTAAACATGGGGACATACCATCAAATTGTTTATTTAAACCAGTATGAATATTACATGTAGAAAAATTAGGCTTCAGATAATATGTCAAATATTAATAATTCATTTGATCTAGCCCCGACAGACAGAGCATCAAAGAGAGAACAAGAGTTATGACACTTGTTTTACGACACCTCTTTATCCTGTTAAAACAATATTCACAACTTGAATTCATTTTGGTGAAAGATCTGTTTGATTCTTTTGATCTGAGGACCCTTTCAGAATAAAGGAATATGAATAACTTACAGGGTAATCAAAGAATGGACACATCATTTGACTTTATGACTTTTAGAGGTAGAGAGTCACCACTTGTTCTTTCGTCATGGCGGTAAATCTGAATGAATTATGCTTTGGCGCTCATGGTTTTAGAAAATTAACTGAACGATTAAATTATGGAGAATCTAACCAAGCTAACAGCTAACTAATGTTAGCTCAAGTGAGTAGCCAACAACCTGTTTTACACATCCAAAGAACTTCTCTAAAAATGAACTACTTATTACAAGACCAGGCCTCTATTTGAGACAGGCCTTTATTTGTCAAATTGTGTAGCTACACCGGGCTAGTAAAAGGGACTGCGCGTTTAATTGAAGTTTCACGGTATGATGCATTATTATTTATTAAATTATCTAGCATTATATTAGAATTAAAAGCTCAACATTGAACAGAGGTTAAGTAAATTTAAGCACATTACTGATATGCCTCTCTTTTCCTCCTCACTTTAAAGGAATACTTCACTGATTTTCAACCAGCTTTGTATCGTAACAGTGTGGGTAGTATGTGTAAATGACCTGTGGTAAACTGCCCTCCGTTTAACTTGTACCTAGATCTCGTTGATCGTCTCCAAGCGAAACTTCGCCAGTTGATGCACATGATGCAAACCTTGTTGCTCGAACTACAGGCTACATTTCTACATTTTTGTATCACCAACACGGACACGAAGAGTATAGAAGTGGATCAGGAGACAGACCCGCCCCTCTTTCTCTCTCTCTCAAATGCAGACCAAACTCAAGTCAAACCTAAAACTAAGCAGCATTTATCAAATATAAACTGAGATTCTGGCACTGTGTCCCCTATTTCCCAACTCAGATCTTTTCGGAAACATGTTTTAGCACCATTTAACTGTAATATGAGACGTGACCCACCAGCGTTCTGGCAGTTGTAGGATTTCTGCCTCTTGAGAAAAAGCAAAGCGAATGCCATAGAACTTTCTCAGTTTCCTCTGGTCATGTGGCACCAGTTTCAAAACAGTTTGCGTCTTTCTCCTGCATAGACAGCCCAGGTTTATGAAAACAACGTCAAATATTTCAAGTAAAAATTTGAATGTAGGACGAGACACAGACGAGTTTTGCTTCAGGACAAAAAAAAGTACTTCCTCTACCACTGCCAATAATCAACCAACATTCCCAGTTAGAGAAAGAGTAAAAGTCAAGCACAATGGCGTCTGCCCGGGGCCCCCAAAATACTAAATCCACCTGTGAAAAACACACACCAGTCACGGCTACTTGAGGTCAGAAACACAGTTAAAAATACACTTAACAGATGTATTAATTTCCGTACTTCGATGTTACCACCGCAGTTATAAAGTAGAGCATGGATTAATCAGCAGAGGTTGGCCCTGTGTTGCCAACGGTAACGTTAATGGTGTTATCACCATGGTTAAAGTAGAGTGTGTATTAAATTAGCGGTAGAATGGCAAACAAAAACACACCCAAGTCACGGCTACTCGTGGTCAGAAACACCAGTGTTTTAGCCACAAGAGCTGTTTGCTCGTTTATTCAAATTTTATTAATATTGAACGTGTCTTATATCCAAATTGCACCGTATTCGACACTGCACCTCTTCGGGTCCCCAGGAATACACCCGCCAAGTGTGAAGTAGATCAGATGAATGGTTCTTGAGATACTGGAAGGACAGACAGATTCCCTGCTTTGTAGTTAGATAATCACTGGTTTTAAACTGGTCACACACACAAGAGAGAAGCAGATATTCGTAAAAAGATGTAAAGACAATACATCACGTTCTTTCTGTGACCTTTCTTCATCCCTGTGTGTTTCCGTCCGGCAGGTGACGATGCGATGACGGGGGACACAGACAAATATCTGGCCCCCCAGGACCTGCGGGAGCTGGGGGACGACTCGCTCCCTCAGGAGGGCTACATGGGCTTCAGCGTCGGTGCGCGGTCACAGAGGTAAGAGAGGCACACCATGACACGTTAATATCATGACTGTTTATATGTTTGTTAAGGTAGTTGCTGTAGTGTTGACATTGTTGATGTGTAAAGGCCCGGTCACACCAGCGTTTCAAACTGCAAAATTTCTGGTGAACTTTGACACTCAGATTCACACCTTGACAAATAGCAACCGTCCTGACAGTTGTAGCCAACAGAGACACAAAGAATCCACAGTAGACGGAGCTGCTGTAGCTTGTTAGTTTTGCTCCACCGTCACGGACGAATCCAAAATGAATGGATTGCAGCTGCAGATAGCTCCATGAATTGCACATCACTTTCAACACCTGTCTCCCCGGCTCAAGGTCCCACAGAAGGTATTGCTCTGATGTTATTACAGCTCATTACTGCCTGTCTCTGGTGTGACTGCGTCTGTAAAACACAGATCAGGTGGTTGAAGGATTCCTCATTAAAATCGTGTAAAGTAAATGATGCAGCGCAAAACAGGAAGTTGTCACCTGCTTTTTTAAATTAAAAAAAAAAAGAGAAAACCTTGACCAAAAAAAGCAAAGTGTAATCTTTGACAGGAAGCAGCAGCGTATATGGAGACTGTCAAAGCTTAATCATGTTGTTTCCAGCTTATAAGTGACATCGTAACAAAAATCTTTTAAAATATTCTGTTAATGTCTTTTGTTTTAAATCCAGGCTTCACGTTATTCTGACCCCCGACACACAGATTTTCCTCACACCACCAGGAGGTCATAGTTCGCTCTCTGTGGCTGTTGAACTTTTTCGCTCACACAAAAATATTGACACTTGTGCAAGCGGCTGCAGAGGGAGGGGTTATTGAATATCTGAGCAGTGACACACACGGACATTGAGCCACAGGAAATTAGAAACATGTTCGATTTCATGGCCCTGAGCCCTGGGTTACATCAACACACTCTGTTTGAGTGGGGTGGGATGTGTGTGTGTGTGTGTGTGTGTGTGTGTGTGTGTGTGTGTGTGTGTGTGTGTGTGTGAATTGATTTAACAAATTGTGCTGTAGGAGGGGGTTCACATCTCTTCCAGTTCAGTCAGTTTAGGAAGTGAATTATCTATGTTGTATTTATGTCATGTATGTCTGTTTTTCAGTTATAAAACTCTTTAACATGTTACTTCATTTTCCTTTTGAACATCACAAAAAGTAAAACATGCATATCCAATATAAAGTTGTGATGTGGGACAAGCCGCCCGGTCCAGAGGCAGTTAAAAGACCATTTTAATGTTTTATTTAAATGTTATTCGCAATATTCCTATTGCTCAAAATACTACAGTACCCATGTGCCTCAGCTGCTGTTGCTATGGCAAAGACAGTGAATGTGAATAAGAGACTCAGACAATTCAGATCATTTCATGCCTAGTGAATTCAGCAAGCACTGAGTTTCATTTAGGACTATGACTGGATGTTTCTTACAGAAAGGCTTCTTGGGAGTTGTAGTCAAGTTTTCACCTTAATAGCGGGATTTATACTTTTGCGTCGACACAGAGCCTACGCCGTAGCCTGACGTGCACCTCCCCACGTCAGGCCGACGCAGACTTCCTGTCTGTTTCTGTAAGCTGAAACCATTTCCCTCAGTGGAAACAACTTACTTTAATTTCACAGATAAGAAACAATAAATTGTGAAGACAATAAAGCCTCCACAAAAATAACATTTTCAGTCTTGTGTTTGATTTATCCTGGCTTCATATGAGCAGAGGAAATCTCTGCTAGCCACTAGGCTAATTTATACAATGTAAAATGCCATAGGCTTGTACTAATAGAGTGTGCCAGTAAACCCGGAACTCCGTTAGCGCTTTTAGCACTTCCGGTTCTCTCGTCTAAAAGTCAATACATTTTTTGAATGGGATTTTGGTAAAATGCCTCAAATAAGGTCTGTGGTTAACAAAAGCTTAAGCGAGTTTCAGGTTTTTTTCTGCGACATAAAACACGTCAGTAAATACCCTACTTGTGAATTTTGAAGCTTTTACATGTCGTAAAAAAGGCGGTTGCTAACAAGTTGCTCAATACAACTACAAACTCTGTCGGGGACATTAAACGTCATCACCCCCGAACAGGCGAGAGTGCTGGCAGTCCGCCATTACAGCTTCTTATTTAGCTTAAACAGTCCGATTTCCCCATTACACAATGTTTTTAAAATAAAGCGGCCGAAGTCAGTTGAAAGCTTAGTGGCGGTGACGTCAAGAGTCATGTGACCTTGGAGTAGTCATGTAGTCCGTTAAAGCCTAACGTTAGCTTTTTACTTCTGGCGATCGCATTTAAGCTTCAAATGCGGTATGAAAGGTGTTCATATGTGAAGATTATCTCGCTGAACAAAACCTGTAAGTATCATAAACTTGTGTTAGCCACCACGGAGCTTATTTTCTGACATAATCCAAAACGCAATGCAAAAATCACATTTACTTTCTCTTCCGGGAACCAGCGCTATGCTAAACTTCCAGGTTTTGACGTCAGCCCTGGCACACTCTATAACGTTAGCATGTTGTATTTGTTTGTAAAAACGTGTTTAGTATAAGACAATTGTTTTGTCAGTGAACCTTGTGAGTTGTAATGGAGCCGGATTTTGTAACGTTACCTTTGTTAAATGTTGCTGTTGTCCCTGGCTTCATATGAGTAGAGAAACTGTTCGCTAGCTGCTAGGCTAATTTATACAATGTAAAATGCCATAGGCTTGTGCTAATAACGTTAGCATGTTGTATTTGTGGGGAAAATGTGTCCAGATAAAGACAAGTGTTTGTCTGTGAATGCTGCGAGTTATAGTGAAGCTGATTTGTGTACTTGTGTTTGAAACTGTCTCTATTAAGCCATGTTTAATGTGTGTTTTGAATCAGCTAAACTTTATAGTACTGCCGCGGACTAGTGTTTTGGAGGTGTAACTGCAAATCCTCACAACGGCGTATGCCTCATGCGTAGGGTACGGCGTAGGCTCTGCATCAAGCTGACACAAGTATTAATCCACCTTAAGGCCGCACTAATCAACATTTTTAAGGCAAAAGACTGTCATGTGAAGGAGGATGCTCATAATGATGAACCCACAAACCTGACTCAGCAATTTCTTTTGCTCATTGTGTCAGTTTTCAAGTCAGTCAGTCAGACACAAAGTCAGTCAGTTAGACAGTTAGACAGACAGACAGTCAGTTAGACAGTTAGACAGACAGACAGACAGACAGTCAGCATCTGGCAGCATCATTCTTCCAGCCTGGCTTTTCTCCTCTCTGCATCTGTCTCTCCACTCCTCTGTTTGTTCATGATCTTTTATTCTCTCCTCATGTCCGTTCTTAATGTTAGTCCCAAAGTCAGGTAAGGCTGAAGGCATGAAGAGGCCTCCCCCACTACCTCCCCCACCCCACCCATTCCACCCCTCTCCCTCCCCCGACACCCCAGACTCCAGTCGCTGCTCTGTGGTCCAGTGTGATACATATGTACTGTGTATGTTTGACTACTAACTGTGGTTTTTACCTTATGTTTTTAACACTAATGTGTGTCGACATCAGGCGCTGTGTCGTTCACGTGTGTGTGTGTGTGTGTGTGTGTGTGTGTGGTCTTACTCTCAGCTGAAAACAGTTCTGCTGTGTTTCCCTGCTTGTAAGAGACGAGCCTGTTGTGTTTGCTTCCGTGTTTGACTGTGATGGTGACCGTACCATTAACGCCTGGGTCTTTGTGGGTTAGCCACAAAGGTGGAGCTTTGCATCATTTTGGTTTCTGTGTGGAGAACTCCTTCATCGAGCTTCCAGGGACCTGAACTGATGTCATCTTCATCAGTTTAGAGTCATGTAATGGACAGTGCAGAATAATCTCACTGTTATTCCTCAGATAGGTGTGTACACGTCAGACAAACATGTACGTTTACGACCATTAAAACTGCTTTAATGGTAGGGCTGCGCAGTTAATCCAAATATTATTAAAATGGCAACATGGCCAAGTTAAATATGCACATCACAGGAGCTGCATTTTTTTTGAAAAAGGTCAAATGTGTCACAACATACTGTTATAAATGAAGCGTTGTGGCACTACAGAGACGTCCCATCCCTCAAATCAGATGTAAGGTAACATTCTTATTTGATACAGACCCCAACAAAATCAGAATCAGTCAGAAATACTTTATTGATCCCAGAGGGGAAATTGTGATTCGTTACAGTCGCTCTGGTGTGAAGAAAAGAAGTAAGAATAAGAGTGTGAAGTGGAATAATATGTAATATGAAAATATAAACAAATAAAATAAATAAAAAATAAAATGTGCATTTTGCTACAGTGTTAAACATTAGTGCTGAAGATATTGAAAATATTAAAATATATATCGTCAGTGCGCTGAGGCTGTAAGTGTGAAAATTTAACTATAATATATACATCAATAGAATAAACAAGAATAGAATTAGAGTAAACATAAGAAATATGCACAGTTATGTGCTTTGTATGGTGAATAAATACATACATACAAGAGGTGTTGCTGAGGATAATGTGTATTGAAAAATAAAGCACATTTGAAAAGATATTTCATTAGAGTTTTTAAAATATCTTTAGTGAAAGATAAAATCCATTCCCACTAAAATCATTATCATATCATATTGCAATATGATTTTTTTTTATTGGCAATTTCTTTTTTTTTAACTTTACTTTACATATACTTTAAGAAATGACACCATATATTTATTTGAAAATAAGTTAATCAAACAGCAGGATTTGTTTCATGTTTTGCCAATTATCTTTTCAGAGAACCGCCTTTTTTGCACATAACAGACGTACAACACAAACCTCTTTGCAGTCTCATAGATGTATTACAGCTGTGTAATAGCAACAATCCAGCGATACGATATTTATCACAATACAGATGATACAATTCAATCTATTGCAATTTTTTTAAATCTGCATTTAGGAGTTAGCGACCAGTTATGACTCTCCATGTTTCACAGGCCTGTGTTCTTAGTGTGTACAGTAGCGATATGTTCTGATGTTGGAGCGAAAGAGTCAAATGGCAGCACAGTTGTCTTGCAGTTTAAACACAACACAAACTCCCATGAATCTTTGCAAGTAAATTATTGATTGAAAATTGATAGTATTTTTGAGATTCATTGTAGTCTCACAAAACATAGTATGGCAATACACAAGTGCATCGATATTTTCTTACACGCTTAAAAGACATATGAGTGTCCACTATCTTTTAGATCCCTACCATTACTTTCAATGGTCATATGTATTGTATCTTGGTTGCACCCATGGTTGCAGTTTATTTTTTTTAAATCTCATTATCTCCGGATCATTTGTGGGAGATTTAAAATGCCTGAATGAAAACAAATCAAACAAATTAAGTTCTTATATATTTTTCCTTTCTATGTATGCATCAACTGCGTCATCGTTAAAAAAGAAACGTTTGTTAAAAGGGAAGTTATTTAGCTTTTTGTCTTTAATAACAAAATGAATGTAAATGCCACATTAAAATCATTTTAGTGATATCCAGGAGAGAGCAGTGTGGACCTGCCAAAACCAAATACAAAGCAGTGTCATTAGTTCATGAGGAGGTGTAAAGGAGCTTTTTCTTTTTTGAAATGGAAACAGGAAATGAAAAACAGTCAGCCGTCCAATCATAGTTCGGGGGTGGGGCCAAGCTTATTCAATTCAGTTCAGTTTTATTATTGCCTCAGAGGGCTTTACAGCATACGACATCCCTCTGTCCTTAGGGCCCTCACAGCGGATAAGGAAAAACTCCCCAAAAATCATAGCTGACGTGAGTTTATGTTTTAATCCAGGCGTTTTAAATCTTCCATAACAATTGAATCTGTTTTCTTTTCTCAAAAATTAACAACAATAAAAGCTGGTTCATGGATTTACATTCCAATGTGAAGCTTTGGCTTTAGTCTTGACCTTAAATGGGGAGGACAGATTTGAATGACATGATAAAATTGTTTCTTGAACTCAAGATAATGAGACAACAGGATTATTACCTCATCACCTTGAAAACACCACCTTTTGTTTTCTCAAGATAATAAATTATTTTATTACCCCAAGATAGCAAAATACTTTTGTAATCTTGAGGAAAAAACGTTTTTAAAAAATATAAATTGCAATCGTGGCCTCTCTCAGCTTCCATCTCAGCACAAGAGTCGTGTTTTGCCTCTGAGCACAGGCTAATTGGTTCCTATCGGTTGACTTGTGTAGAGCAAACAGCGCTGTTGTAATTGTGGTCTGAGACGTTGCAGGCAAACATTCATCACATGTCATCGCTCAGGAATGCTCTTTATTTGCCTCATAAACGTCTCCATGAAAGCCCCATCACAAACAACATCACAGCGTGGCGTCACTGACAAACGTATTGGGACAGAAACGTAAACAATCGACTTTTTTTTTTTGCGAGATGAAATTACAGCAGCTAATTATCTGCAAATTTATCAACATGACTCCCAGTACAAGCTTCCTGTCCTAGTACTGTGTCCATTGTCCATCATACAGTAACTACTGCTTCTCTCAGGCTGTGAGGGCATCTGAACCGTGTGCTGGCATGGTGTGAATAGCTCGGTCGCTGAGACTGAGGAGGCTAAAAGAGCTGTAACAGTCAGAAAAGGTGTAGATAATGTAGTGAGTGTACACCCCCATGATTTGTTTGCACTGTTCATCCATCATTTAAGAGATATTATTTGGATAATCAGCAGACACTGACGACTGCATCTGCATCCACAGTTTAGCTTGTTTTTTGTTGCCCCGACACATTAGTATCCTCCGCACAGCGATCACTCCTCTCCAGCTCTGGTTTTTGTTTTGGAGACACTTGAATCCCCTCTTCAGGAGCGTTCTTTCTTTCCCTGTGGTTGTTGTTGTCACTGGTGGCATACAGTCAGGTTCCTGGAAGCTGCATGCATTTAATGTGTTTATGTTTGTTTTTTCTGTTCACTTTCATACCCCCCCTTTACACCCCTCCCCCTCCCAACTCCTCCTCCTCTTCCTCCTCCTCACCTCCCCTCTCCATCATTGTGACTGTTGTCTTGGTAATCCGTGACTACTACGGCAACCACACCAAGCCTCCGTTCCTTCAGTTCTGATAGGTCCAACACGCTGAACCGGAGCTCGTTCACGCGGGACAGCATGATGATCGAAGAGATGCTGGCGCCCAATAAGGAAGTGGTGCGTACTCTTTTTGTTTTGCTGGCTTCTGTCTCTGTTTCTCACGTCTCTGTCAATCAGTAATCCACAGGTCATTAACTCCACAGGAGGCATAGTTCTGTCTCCAAATGTGCCAAGCTGTCCTGGTGCTGTGCCAAAAGTCTGGCTGTCCACCAATCCTCTTACACCTGAGATGGTGTTGACTTAAAGACGACCAATCCCGTTACATTTTACTGAAAGGGGAAATGAGATTAGGGGTTATTGCTGAGATCTAAGAGGGATTACCATGATGGCCCACTTACTTTAAAGGTGCAGCGAGGTGGCACTTCAGGTAAAGTTGTTACTTTACCTAAGAAGCCAAAGACTACATGATCTGACTTTAGACGACTTTTACCTCCTCGTGAATCAGAGTTTTAATGACGTAACAAAGATTATTTTAGCTCGGAACGTTTTTTAAAGCTTCACAATAGAAATTAATTTGTTCTCTTCGTCTTATCAACTCATGATTCAAAATAGAAGGTTTTGCTGAAGCCACTCGTTGAGGTAGGTGTGGTAGTTTCTAACGCCTCGTTTCCACTTACATATGTGTACGGAGACGATGCAACAGGAAGTCCATTCATTCCTATGGGCATCTTAGGGTGCTGTCACACCTGCCCTGTTTGGTTTGGTTCAATCGAACTGAAGTTCATTTCCCCCCTCAGTGCGGTTCGTTTGGGCAGGTGTGAACACAGCAATCACACTCTTTCATACAGTCTCTCTGAAATCCACCGCAAAAGTAAAAAATTTTAATGTACTTGAGGCAAAGTCCGGTCTGAAATATTACAGAGAGTTTCGCAGGCACATCGGGTATCATGGAGGCTGCTTTCAGACCTAGAGTTGTCTCCTTTGGTCTAAATCATGGACTTATTTTGTTCCAAAGTTGTATAATTGCCTAGAGTTGGTTCGTGTTCTCACGGCAGCATTTACAAGAGGACCAGATCAAATGCCTTGTGTGAGAAAGCTGCTCTTGATTGGTCAGAATTTCCACATGGGAAAAATCCAGGAAGTAAAGCAAACGTTGAAGAAGAGTACACTTGCAAGATAAATGTGACACTTTCTAATGTCACAATGGACGGACAACTACGCAGGTTGATTTTAGCGCTGCTCATCGTGGACTATATTGCTGTCATTGTTCATTTTAGTCAAACCATACAGTTTGAAAACGAGGCGCGGCTCCAACTAGAAAACAATGTTTTGATGCATTGGATGTGCTGAATGTGCATATTAAGGCAGTACAGGAGGAGGTGCACATTAATAATCCTCCAGGACTGTAACATGCTCATGTTTACCTCTTCGAGAATGTCGGCTGGCTGGTTATAAATTAACTCTGGTGCAGTTCGTTTGTGGTGATAACATGTCCCGACTTGGATCTGAACCAACTGCAGTTACATGACACATTGTTTGGGTTAAACATGAGCATGTTACAGTCTATCTAGCTTTAAAAAACAAAAATGTATCCAGCATTAGAGGCACAAAACAAGATCAACTGTGTGTACAGATTGGGCTGCGTATTGTTAGAAAATGTGCAATGTCATTGCCAAAATTATACCATGGTTTTGCGGCTGATACTGAAACTAAACATTTTTTGGTTGTAAAACGGGTGCTGCAGCTTTTTAAGTATTGAACTTATAGTGTCAAAATAGGTGCAGCAGAGGCCGAGATATTCTCATTTGCAGGCCCTTAAAGAGATCCAAGAAATCCAAAACTATTTCCAGAAACGCTGTATCCTACACTTCCCATACTGCATCTCAATAAGGTCTTTGTTGCCCATGAATCCAACTGTAGACAGCTCCTCCAGAGTCACATAAGTCAGTTTTAGGGGAACTGTGACTGGTAAATGAAGCTTCATATGTAAAATAGGTGGCATGCCCCTTTAAGCTCGACCATGAAAACTTCTGAGAAATGAAGACATTAAAACATTCTCAGTTTGAAAGCAATGAGACAGAGAACTTTGAACCTTTGTGAGTAGGAGCCTGAAAACGCTGTAATATGCATGTTATTTTTTGCCTTCGAATTTAACAGACAGTGTGACTACACACAGTAATGTGCAGAGTGTAACATGATGATCTGATCTGTGAATGTAGCAGCTGCTGAATAACAGCTCGTCTCCTCTCACGCTGCTGCAGATGCTCTGTAAGGAAAGGTCTTTCATTGTAGAGCATCACAATAAGGTAGATGTTCAAGTTGTCATGTGCATGTCAGAATATGTCTTTCAGACGCTATCATCATTTGTTATATGTGGTGTAATATTTTTTTTTCTGATTGGTAATGTCATCATCAGTTATGTTCAGTTGGTGCCATGCACCAATTATTTTAGAGCATGTGTACAGTTTATTCATCTGTTTGTATTCATTGTTATGAAATGACCGTTCTTTATCCATGAATAAGTAGAGACATGACCACCACATCACAACTGGATTCCTTCTTTATTAATTGTGGGTTTAATGAGATTTTATTTCACAACACTGCGTGGACAGTGTCAGTATTTTAATTGTTTTGCTCTCATGAACTCACTAAACTCACTGCCCATGAAGCCAATTTAAAACACAAGTGTTGATTTAAATGTTGTCACGTGTGATGACCTTTGATTTTTTATGTTAAGAATACAGAATTATTCTCGTGTAAGCAAACTTAACAAATTAACGTATCAGAGCCTCTCCAGAGTAGAAATATTGCATCTACATCATTAAATGTATGACCATGTGATCCTCCAACAGACGCCAGACCTTAGTATGATCAAACAGTGATTGCATTTATTTACTGTTTACAAGCATTCTGTTTTAGGGTATCTGATGTTGGTTTCTGTCTGTTACCATCCTTAAACAGAACGAGTAGTGATCAGATCATCATCCCAGAGGACGTGTAACTTAAGCTAGAAAGTTACTGCCTTGTTACTGCCTCTGTCATCGTTAACTGCTGGACCTTGAAGGGACAGTTCAGTCCCCAAATCAAAAATACATATTTTAACTTTTTCCTCTGATTGTTTTGGTGTGAGTTGTCGAGTGTTGGAGATATCGGCCGTAGAGATGTCCAACTTCTCTCCACTGTAATGGAATAAGATGGCACTCAGCTTGTGGTGCTCAAAGTGCCAAACAAATACTTAAGTCAGAGAAAACTTTATTTACATTTGCAGTATTATATTTGGCACTATGGCTCTGTTCTGGGGCCTCTCTGTCTTTCCTAGGCCAACACAGAAAGCCTAAGGCAAAGAGAGCACACCTCCCTGCCCTTCCACACGCAAACGAGGAAAGCCTAAGGCGGAAAGAGCACACCTCCCTGCCCTTCCACACGCAAACGAGGAAAGCCTGAGGCAGAGAGAGCAAACCACCCTGCCCTTCCATGCACCTACATAGAAAGTCTAAGGCAAAGAGAGCAGCATCCCCTTAGTTAAGGACATCAGGATTGTCAGACTTTAGAGGGTTGTCTTGTTGGAGGTAATATCTCTAAAGGACACTGATGTTATGAGTTCAGACTCCACCAACACAGACTGCATTCTCTTCATTTTCCTTTTTTCCTTGGTTATTCAGATGCATGGCTTCATGACAAAAGCTGTGATCTAATTGTTCTCACATTATCATTTCTCTTCTTCCTCCTTGTGTGTATACAAGATGCACTCACTCACACACACTCATTGATTCAATGACCTTTTTGTCTTTCCGGCAGCATTTGGCCGTGGCTAAGGACTTTGACAACGACTCTCTGAGGAGGTACAGCTGGACTGCAGATGCACTGGATAATGTCAACCTAGTCTCTTCACCAATACACTCCGGGTAAGCACTTCCTAAAAGGATGAGCAGAGTGAGGAAAGAAGGATACAAGACATGTGCTCGTCTTTGTCTCCACCTACCTGTTATGTATTCTCTGTCTGTCTTCCTTTCTCATTTTCTTTCCCCCTCGAGAAAACTGCTCCAACCTGCAGCGGTTTCTCTTCACCCTCTCTGACTGTCTGTTCTTGATTGTAAGGCTAATGTTAGCTGAAGTTACACTTCCTTCATTTCCGTGAGTGTAAAATTACACAGTGCCAGACCTGTAAAAGGATATACTCAGAAACTGATGAGACGTGGCTCTAGTTTTTCTCTGTTTAACAATCCAAAAATCTGACCAACCAGTGCTGACCTGATGCTGCAGGTTGGTAAATCATTGGAAACAACAGAGTCACAACGAAATGCGGAAATGAAGGAGCTGTAATTTAAAGCAAAAGTTTGACACTGTGGGAAATACGCTAATTTGCTCTCTGGCTAAGAGTTGATTGAGATGATTGATTTCTCTCTCATGTCTGTCTGGTAAATAAAATTAAGACAAAAAAATGAAGCTACAGTCAGAAGATGGTTAGCTTAGCTTAGCTTAGCTTAGCTTATCACAAAGACTTAACGCGGGGAAACAGCTAGCCTCACTCTTTCCAGCCACACCTCTAAAACTCTCAAAATAACCTGTTACAAAAATGAATGTGTAAAAACAACAATTCCAGTCTTGGTGCTAAGCTAAGCTAACGTGCTCCTAGCTGCATGGGTGTGGGAGGGTGAGTAATTCAGCACCCCCTATTGAAAAAGGGTGGAACAACACAGTCTGTAAATAGTTGGCTGTTTTACTACAACTCGTGGGCTATCTGAACATTTTTAAGCATATAAGCTGCCAGACAGTTTAATTAATTTCCCAGACCTGACGTGACCATGTCATCACGTCAGGTGAGGTCACAGCACAAGGGTTGGGATCAAGTTAATTAGCGGTAGCAGGAGCGAATCAATAGTGCGGACAGGCTGGGAAAGACCTGAGCATTGCCAGGATTGTTTCTGAGCTGCTTTTTAGATCCATAACGTCAGCCTTGGACTCGAGGGACTTCCACCATCAGGATGGCGTTGTATGGCCGACAATGACGAAGCAGATGTACGATTTGCCCAGGGGACATGAGAGGCCTCAGGGAAGAGACAACTGGATGTCTAACACCATTTAAAATGAAACATTAGAATTTCTGACACATGCAGTCCTGACACAAATTGTGTCTGAGGTGAGGGAGAGCAGATTCTTTCGACTAACGGCTGATGAAACCACCAATATAAGTAGGGTTGTCACCTTCAGTGTGGAAAAATAGCGGCCCCATGCCTGGGGGACTCAAATCAAGTGGAGGGTCTTTGATTCGAGTGGTAAAGCCAGCACAATTATAGGTAACCAAACTGATTTAAGGGTGTTTCTGCATCATTTTACATCTCACTATAGATATGTTTAAGATTAGATATGTAAAACTGAATCAGGTGCATGTGAGGCTTTTTAAATCCATAAGCTAAGTAGTTAAACACTCGGGTGTAAAGGAACCTTTTCATAACTTTATCAAGCAGTCAGTCAGCGGGTCAGTGAGCATGCTAATAATTGCCCTGTGTATCAGAGTCTCCGTAACCATGGCAATGACGATGCTGAGTGACAAACCTGTCATTCTTTAGTCTCTCCTGCAAAATCTCATTTCTCTGCTATACCCCTTAAAACTCTTTTGGTTTGATATTTCTTGTGTCATTACTGTGTAGCACCCCTCAGTGAAAGATATGCTCCTGTGTGCATGTCTGTCTGCAGCCTTATATTTAACAGACAGGAATGAGAGGGGTATCAATCTCTTCATTTAACTCTCCACCAGAAAGTGAATAAGCGTATTTCCCAATATGTTGAACTGTTCCTTTAAAGGACTCCTTGGTAATCGTCTTCTCAGTGGTATTTCCAATGACAAAGCTCTGTTGTTGACCTGTCACTCCTGCGTTGCTTTGTCGTCCATCCTGCAGTTTTTCCTCTCCGCTCCCGCAGTACGACAGCAGGTGATTGACTGTGATTGGTTGCCCTCTTTTATCACCTCCACTACCTTGTTTGTCATTACTTCCTGTTTTCCAGTGACATCACACCCTCCCCTCATCTGTGTTTGCTCTCCTCACACATGAACTGTGTTGATACAGATTTGATGTAAAGTGGTTTGGATTTTTTTGTCCTCGTGTTTATTCCTTTTGTTTGGAGGAAATCTTTGTGAGTCTATCAACTGATCTGAGTGAGTTTGTGTTGCAGAGTATAGAGACTGAAATGACACGGACCTAGTTTGAGCTGATCTGAATATTTTTACATTTTCCAATAGCAAGACAGTCCATCAATGGAAATACACTGCCGTTCAAAAGTTTGTAATCACCTGTCATATTGATGTTTTTCTTTTTCTCTTCAATAATAACTATTTTAGCACAAAAACAGTATCATTCAGGCCTCTCTGCTTTTCCTCAGGCCTACACAGACAGCCTTAAGGTGCTGCCCTTCCATGTGCCTACATGGAAAGCCAAAGGCAGGGAGGAAGGCAGCAGCAAAGACCCCCTCGGGAACAGAACAGAGCAGCATCAGTGACAAACAGAAATGACATTGATAAGTCAGACACAGCATGAAAAGAAGGAGCTGGGGTGGAGGCAGTTTGCAAAGCAGCTTGCAGAGGAAGCAGCAACACTAAGCAGGCCAGAGCAGTTTAAACAGGGCGCCCTGAATGAGATTCACCAATTAGTTGCATAGAGAGGAATCATGTGATCTATCAGCTGACTCCCTTACATCAGTCAGCTGTTCCATCAGTTGATTGGCTGTTTGAGATCAGCTGATGTAGCTGTGAGCTGAGCTTGACATTGTGTCCTGTCGGAACTAATGCTATGCTTAATTCCTCTCAGCCATCAAGCTTTTTTGGTAGGAGAATACAAACTTTTGAACGGTACAGTAGATTAGCTTAAACAATAATCAGTAGCCAGGTAATTACAGTCCTGTTCAGGATTATTGCAACCACAGACAACATGTGTGTAGTTTTCAAAGGATTCTTTTATGCAAATTTACATTTATATTCACACCATTTTTTCCAAAAGCTACATATAAACTAACATGACATCTTGTTTACCAAATTGCATGGCGTGGCTCTGTGTGTGTGTGATTTCCTTCTTTGAGTTAAAGTGAGTGACGCTCAGGACTACAGTACCTTCTAATATGGATAAAACACAGGTTACATTGGAGGCTCCTGTGTCGGCATGTTGGCTCATTCATCCACACAAGAATATTTATTTCCTGGAAGTGGATATAGCAACATTGTGACATCGACTTGAGGATGTTCTCTAATTGTAACCAACATTTTCTGAAGCCATAGCCAACACAGAAAACTCTTAAATATCTGTTCTGTCTTTATCTCTCTTCTCTTTTGCTCACACTTACTTTGTGTGTGTTTTGAAGATCACAGCATGAGAAGGGACTTCACCTCAGCTAAAGCTCTTCTCTCTCCATCAATACTGCGGTTAAATTGATGTGTATTTTATTCCATTCCTTTTCTATATCCTCTCTCTCTCTGGTTCCCAACATGTTACTCTTTCTCCCACTTTTCTTCCACGCTCACTGCTTCACTGTCTCCCACCACTCTTTGTCTCTTCCTCCTTTTTTCCTTTTCCTTCCTCTTTTCACTTTCCATCAGGTTCCTGGTCAGCTTTATGGTCGACGCCCGGGGCGGCTCCATGAGAGGAAGTCGTCACAATGGCATGCGCATCATCATCCCGCCGAGAAAGTGCACAGCGCCCACCAGGATCACCTGTCGACTGGTCAAGAGACACAAACTGGCGTCGCCTCCTCCGATGGTGGAAGGAGAAGGCCTGGCCAGCCGACTGGTTGAGGTCGGTCCGGCCGGAGCTCAGTTCCTCGGGTGAGACTTGATTTTTTTTAAACCTCACCAGTGTTGTTGCTATTTGCTTAATTGCTTATTCTTCTGCACTTTTTGTTGGGTGACTTGACATCTCCTTCCTTCTGCTTCTTGCCATCGCCATCTCCAGCCATCTGCGTTTATAGAGTGTGAATGAGTGTACGTGCATGTTTAGGTGGAATACCTGCTGTTTAATTTGCAGTTTAAGTGTAATTGTTGCAGTGTGCTCACCCTCAAGCATTAAGTCCAGCTTAAGCAAAGAGAAGGCAACATCACTAACAGTTGTAAACAGTGGAAAAGTGTAGATTGTGGAAACAAAGAAAGGCAAAGAAAATATGTGCACATGTTACAGTTTTATATACCATAAAACTCTTTAACAGGAAGTGTGTCAAAACCAACAGATATTATATATTTGGCTCAACTCAGAGGCAGGGCTTTTGATTTCCTGTTTAAAGAATGTAATTATGTATCCAAGGTGCTGTGTTGCCATGGTCTCATGTTCCCCAGGGTCCTATGTTCCCAAGGTCCTATGTTCCCTAGGGTCTTTAAGCACCCAAGGTCCTGTCTTCACTGTTGTCCAATGTTCCCAGGATCCTAAGTGCCCAAGGTCCTATGTTCCCAGGGTCCAATGTGCCAAAGGTCCTGTTTTCCCAGTTGTCCTATGTTCCCAGGGTCCTAGGTTCCCAAGGTCCAGTGTTTCCAGGCTTCTATGTCCCTAAGGTCCTATGTTCCCCAGGGTCCTAAGTGCCAAGGTTCTGTGTTTCCAAGGTCCAGTGTTGCCAGGGTCCTGTGTTGCCAGTTGTCCTATGTTACCAGGGTCCTAGGTTCCCAAGGTCCAGTGTTCCCAGGCTTCTATGTCCCTAAGGTCCTATATTCCCCAGGGTCCTAAGTGCCAAGGTCCTGTGTTCCCAAAGTCCTGTGTTCCCAAGGTCCTGTGTTCCCAGGCTTCTGTGATCCTAGGGTCCTGGGTTCCCAGGCTCCTAAGTGCCCAAGGTCTTGTGTTCCCAAAGTCCAGTGTTCCCAGTTGTCCTATGTTCCCAGGGTCCCATGATCCCCAGGGTCCTAAGTGACCGAGGTTCTGTTTCCCAGGGCCAAAAAAAGAGCAGATTGTGCCTTTACTGCACAGCAGAGGAAGCTGAAATTGTGAGGGATGTGGCAGAGCAGAGGAGAAGGTGATAATTGCTAACACCTGGGTGAGGAAAACTGAACTCAACTCACGAAGGCAGCATGGAGGAGAACAGAGAGGAGTGAGAGTGACCAAATGAACTTTACTTGAGATATGTAGAGATTAAACCCCACTACAGTCCCCAAGGTCCTGTGTTCCCAGGGTCCCATGTCCCCTAGTTCCTATTGTTTCCAGGGTTCTAAGTGTTGAAGGTCCTATATTCTCAGGGTCCCATGTTCCCAAGATCCTATGTTTCCAGGGTCCTAAGTTCCCAGTGTCCTATGTTCCTAAGGTCCTGAGTGTCGAAGGTCGTATATTCCCAGGGTCATATGTTTCCAGCGCCCTATATTCCCAGGACCCCATGTTCCCAAGACCCTTTGTTTCCAGGGTCCTAAGTTCCCAATGTCCTATGTTCCTAAGGTCGTATATTCCCAGGGTCATATGTTCCCAGCGTCCAATATTCCCAGGACCGCATCTTCCCTGTGTGTTGAAGGTCCTATATACCCAAGGTCCTGTGTTCTCGGGGTCATTAACATACGATTATGGCCAAGTCTCAAGCAATTTCATGACTCTCGGAGTCATGATTATAGTCCCCTAACCCAACCCTCGCCCAGGTCATATCAAGCAAATGCAGAACTGGGGAATGTCTATTCAGGTTCCCATTATCTGCCATATAGAGCTAGGGAACACAGGACCCTTTGTCATGTTTCCATTGTGTGCCAGATAAATTTGGAAACCTAGGAATGACCCAGATTATTTTATCCAGTTACAGTGTACATACTACAAAACAAAGTGCATTGACACGTCTTTATGTTTGATGACCATGGTTCTGAATTTGTCAGAAAAGAGGATTTTCAGTGACTGTTTAGTCTTTATAAATGGTAATTATAATAGTAGCCGATATAACTTCTCTCTGATTGACGCATTGCTTGAGCGCAACATGCTTATTTGCATTACTTCATACTATAATACTGTATATTTAAAGAAGAAGAATCTATGATGTACAAGCTTGTTTTGGCTTTCCTTCAAACCACATGATCACAACTGAACGTGTGTGCACTAGAAACTGATATTACATGTGAGTAGTTGCCATTTCTGATGTCACTGATGAGTACTGGAAAGAAGAAACAGGAGTCATATTACTGATACAGATCTAGAACTGAGTGGTGTGTTCCTCAACTGACTTTGCAAGTGTGTGTTTTGTGTGTGTACGTGGGTGCGTGTGTGTTTCATTATCTTGCGGACACAGTAAACTACATCTTCCCAGAAAGCTGCCAGCCCTTAATGAAGGCGAGAGCCTGGTTAGTCCAGTGCTACAGCTGGGACCCAGAGGAACTAGATTTGTTGGGTAGGAACCAAACATAGCATCCCCCCTCCCTGCTCCTCTCCCTCCTGTACCTCCCACCTCTCCCAAGGAAACTACATGACCAAGGCTGATTCATGCTGATGGATACTATTATTTTACCCATCTCTGTTAATTTGTCAGGATACAGCATTACTACTATATGGTTGCCATGTAGTTTTGGGAAGAAATCAATGACAGTGAACTCTTTCAAGGAAGGACGACTAGTTACTTACTTGTATTTAAAGATAGTTGGATGATGGGTCCACCACCGCAGAGTGGATTTGTTTTAGCCTCAGTAAAAAAGTGGAGAGACGGAGGGACGTAGAGTTTAGCTTTTACATTTGAGATTTTAAAGTTCTTCCTAAAACTACACAATATAGCTTTAAATCCATTACGGTTACTTTCCAGCCACTTTCATTTAGGCACCATTATATTTTCTTTATTTCAGAAGCTTTCAGTGGGCTTCTGATGTCACTGAAAGTAAAGGTTTGGATTGGCTGTTTGGACTGGACTGCGCTTGTTGGGCATGAGCCTTTTCCTCCTCAAGCCGAGCATCATCCTGCTTCCCATGACCGCTGTTACTTTACTTCACCTTTTAAGATCAGTTTTATGTCATCCCACAATACTTTTGTGTAATTACTTTCCAGAGACATTGTACTAGTCCATGTTACATTAACTCTTGTCGACTCCAGGATGTCTTTGCAGAGTGAAAAGGTGATTATACCATGAAATATATGCAGTTTCAGCAGCTACAGCTCAACTGTGCTGATACACAAGCAGTAAATACAGTGTCAGTGGGTATGAGACTTGTGATCTGTCACCTTATCATTCTGTTTGTCACAGTAACATCTCTCCTCTCTGAGTACTTCAAGTCAAATCAATGAGGTACATTTAACAAGGAAGGCAGTACTTCAATGTGCTTCAGATAAAGAGCAAAGACAATACACAAAGATCACACAAGACAAAAATATATAAGAACAACTAAGATGAGACGGTACATAAAAACATGTAAGATGGGGTGGGCAGATCGATACTAAAATATCGATACTGTGGATACTACGGTTTTGTTTTGAAGAGCCTAGCGTCAATAGGATTGATACAAAAAAAGAGATAAGTTTCTCTATGTTGAACCTATTTGTATTTCAAGAGTAAAATGCTTGTTGTAAACATATCTAGTGCCTGTACCATTTGCTGTTTGTTGTCTGCACTCAGACAGCATAGGCCTTGCACACGTGCAGCACATTGCCGTGTACATCCCAACTAGTTTGATCTGACATTTAATTTCAATGATGGATGAACGCATGAGGTAAAAAAAAAACACTAGAGAGAACTTGGTGCTGCAACAGAGGAGAAGGGAGAAGGGAAATGCCTCAGCATCCAGAGCCACGACACACAGACAAAGTTCGCTAGTCTTTTCAGAGAGGCAAGGAATATCCAGATATTTCAACCTGGATCTGACAACATGGAGCTGATTTTATTCGTGGAAATATTTTTGTAACAAATAAAGGTTTCTATTTTTCAATATAATGCTGCTTCTGGGGTGTATTTACCGCAACGGTGACTAAACCAGTTGCATGTAGATGGGGTGTACCACAGTAGAGAAATTAAAATCTTATGCTGCGTCTCAAAGCACATACTTTCGTCAGTACACTTCCATGTAGTATACTATGTGCACTGTGTACTCATTGGCGTAGTGTTGTCTCAAACAAAACACGGCCGTTGTGCACTCACCAGAAATGGTGACCGCAAATTAGCTCGTTAGCAAACTAGCATTAGCATTTCCGTTGTCGTTCATGGTACCAAATCATTACAGACTGCTAAATTAACCCAATAAACATACTGCTGGCTTATACCTAACAACAGCATAGTGGTGCTTCATGCAAAAAACACATGTATTTGTAAAATGTAGCAATGTTCACAGTCGCACAGTCCTTGGCCGCCATTTCCAGTTTGAAAAGTGGTCCCTCCCCTTCCGCTACGTAGCCAAGATGGCGACCATTGAGGGCGAGAAGTGTCCGTAGTTCCACACTCAACTTCTTGACCATTTTGAGTGTACCATGCAGGTACTCATAGTGCACTGCATTTTTCCATACTTCTCAGTGTGAACACATTTATGCACTCAAAGTATTAAGTGTAAGTACAGAAGTACGCGATTTGAGACACAGCGTCAGTCAAATCCAATATTCAGCACTGGTTAATTTACATTCAGTAACTGTAATTGGTCATCATTAGCCGTTACTTTAGCAGACTGATTACAGACTTCATAAATCATGACACACTGCTGCCTCCTACATGAAAGTACATAAGCAACTTTTAATAATAGAAACAGTATGAGTATGATATCAGTGATTCTGGCCCTGTATTACTTAGTATTGGATTAAAACCAAATTCTGTGATACTGCCCACCCCCATAAGAGATAAGGCTTCAGGTTTTGCCTTTTAAAATTGTAACTAACAATTTTTTAATTGTTAAACCACCTATAAAATAATATTATATGTGGTTTATTATGACTGGATGAGCAAAAAGTAGTAATTGGTGCCGTCTCCATGGCAACATAAGCAGCCGGCACAACTGTCGTCGGATTCTGACTCTTGATTGGTGCATATGAGCACGTGATCCCTTTAAAACGGCAGAGCCCCGCCCACTTCCAACCGGCAAAACGAACACAGGAAATGAAAACGTAAATCCTCTTTCCAAATAAAGATGAATAATTTATTTATTTATTTATATATAATAAACTACAATAATTTATTTCAAAAAAGAAATAAATGTATTTTCACGGACGTATCCGGCGGCTGTGTAGTGCTCTCAACCAACCAACCGCCGGCCGGGTGGAGGTGACAGTTTGGGTTACTCACGGTCAACAGTCACCCTCTTCGACAGATGAAGGTACTTTGTGTTAGCGTGAAAGTTATTTAATGTCAAAGCACTTGTCCGAAAGTGGTTATAACACAAGCTTTGAGGAAAAATAATAATAAACCACTCGTGTCCGACCTCCTCCGTCTGGCCGTGAAACTTCAGTGTAGAGCTAGCTTAATTTACGGCTAATGTTAGATAAATAAAACTAGCAGAAATCATTAACGTTACTTTCTAGCTTATGTTTTGAGTAATCACACGCCGTGGTCTCTTGTGTTGTAACCAGGTGGTTTGCATTAACGTTGTTTAATAAACACAATGAAAACGATGCTGTAAAACGGGAATTTCGGGAGGGAAACAAAAACAAAACAAATGAGAGCACCTAGCTAGCTAACCAAGCGAGCAAGAGAAACGCGAGGTGGCGACTCGCGGTCGGTCCCGTATGTCATTACGCTCGGGTTTTAGCTGCTTGTGCTCGTCCTCAAGTGGGCTGGATGCGATCCAATCTCAGGTAGTTTACTCAGGGTTAACTTGTAATTTATGAAAAGTAAAATTAATGTTAGCGAGCAGAGGCTTTTGACATGTGTTGTCTTTCTAGAGCAGCTGATAACAGCACACAGCAACAGAAGTCTCTGTTACTGGAAAGTGCTATGTAAAGAAATTGAGCATTATGGAGAAGATGTCCACCCATCTTTAACTGTCATTAAATTGACTTAATGTTGATTAAGTGTTGACGATTACTATGTCTATTTTAATGGCATGTTTTTAACATATAACCTGTAGGTATCCTGGTCATATTTGTTGGCAACAGTGCTTAAAAAGTGAAATCCTTTACAGACATTACAAACACAGGTGTACAGGTGAGGTGCCACCTACAACCTAGATTTCATCTAGAGCATTGGCAAATAATAGCAAATAGTGTGTTCGTAAGACTCAGATTGAGAAAATACTACTTTTAAGATCATTTTGTGACTGTATTTGTAGAGGATTATTCAAGGGGATGATCAATAAATATAGTTCCTCTCTGTCTGTCCGTTTGTCCTCTCTATTCTGAGGAAAAATGGTCCTCAGACTAGAGTATGTTCATCCTCTTATGTTGCTATCATGCCTTGTTTGAATGAGGGCTGTGCAGCTTTCTCCCCTCACTCCTCATTCCATTTCACGTGTTTCCTGTCAAGTCATGCCGCCGAGCTATGACATGCACTCTGAATGTTTCATCCCACTGCAGCACGGCCACAGCTAACATTAAGCAACACTGTCATCAGCAGAGCCCACAGTTCATTCATACTGTACCTGTACAGTATGTTTATGAGACCAGTGTCCTTCAATCCTTGATCATATTTCACTTTCTTTGTAGAATTTACTAACTGAATAAACGCCACCATTATTAGTGTTAATCCCATGCAGTTGCATAAAGATAAACTGTATATGTCCTCCATCATTTTTATTTCAGATTTAATTTTTGCATTAAAGTAGCTCCAGTAGGAATTTTAAAGAAGTTACAGCTATCATTATAATCAGAAAGAGCTCAACCTTGACCCCTATTTTCTTAGTTTACCCGTCTTAAATGAATACGATAAGATTAATTAAACCATACCTCCCATGACATGTACCTTACCAGGCCTGTGATAGTGGAGATCCCTCACTTTGGCTCGATGCGGGGCCAGGAGAGAGAGCTGATCATGCTGCGCAGCGAGAACGGAGAAACCTGGAAGGAGCATCTGTACGACTACAAGACAGACGACCTCAATCAGCTCCTCAGTGGGATGGATGAAGGTAAAGCACACGTTCTTACTAGGGATAGACCAATATGGATTTTTTAGGGCCGATGTCGATACCAATTTTTCTCCATCACCCTTAGCCGATGACCGATTATGGACTGCCGATTTTCTTGAGCCGATATTTGGGGCCGATACTGCTTTTGCTCCCTCAATTTACATAAAAAAAATGACACAATGATAACAAATATTACAGGTCTCAAGTTTAAAATAAGAAACATTTATTGAACAGTAAAAAATACTAAAAAAAGATGGAAAGTTGAGGTAGAACAGGTAGAATATTATTATTATTATTATTATTATTATACATTCAAATAAAAAAAAGAGTTCAGTGCTCTTAAATCCAGTAATGTCTTTATAAAATAAACAAATATTTAAGCTGAAGCATAAATAAAACAACAGCTACTGTACACAGTAGGATTCAACAGCTTTGTTCAACTTAACCACATACTTTCAAATGAAAAAAAGTGCCAGGGAAAAATAAATCCGTGAACCCACGCGCGTATCGGCCGATGCCGATACAAGTAAAAAACTCAAATATCGGCCCGATATATCGGCCGGCCGATCGGTCTATCCTTAGTTCTTACTCTTTGTTCTTTAATTATTTTGTCAAACTTTGTCTTATTGTGGCATCCAGGCAAGTTTGTATATTCAAACTAAAATGACACAAATATTTAGGTACCTTTTTTAATGAACATCTTAAATTTGATGTAAACACTGCGGATATTGTGAAGCAGGGGCTACAGAGAAATTCCTTTTCTGTCAGTCCCGTCATCCTCTGCCATCTTGATCAGTTTTTTATTGAGAGCCTCCTGTGTTAGCCATTTATCTGCTGGTTCACAACCTCACACCGAAAAACAGAAACAGTCTAAATAGCATTGTTAAAATCTGTTCTAAGATCACAGGAGTGACACAAAGGGACTTGGTAGGTTTTTGCAATCAACAAATCCTTAGTATAGTATTTGAGCTTCTTCTGGACGTGTTCTTGCATGCAAATTTTCTCTGTTGCCATCAGTGCCTCGTTACGGTTTACCTGAACTGCTAATCAAAATCCTTCATTCCCTTTGCAGTTCGTCTTTCCAGTTCTCGGTTTATAGTATGTGTTCAAGGCAAGCTGTTCAAATAAAGTGGCCCTGGTGGGAATAATGAAGTTGTCTGAATCTGAATTGAAAAGCTCTTTGTGTAGAATTATACATCATTACAGCATCTTATAAAGTCTTCTGATAGCCTCAGTTTTTGGTTGTAGAAAAATTAAACAGCCTTGCTGAAAATTGGCAGAGTCTCTGTACTGCTATGTGTTGCTTCCAGCAATTCATCCACATTGTACCTGGGTGAGATCTGGAAGGTGGAGGGATGGTCATTGCAGGATCTTAAGTCCTGAGTGATGCATCACAATAGTGACTGAACAGATGCAACTTTTGTAACATCTACAACATTTAGATGCATGCATTAATATGAATCAGTGAACAGATGTTACCCCAGTAAACCATTAATGTTTAGGATTCTTTTCTCTCTCTCCTTTGTGTTTAGGACCAATAAGGCACATAAAATAAAAAATATGTATGTTTTTCTAAAGAATACAAGTTATGACAAAAAAAGTAGTTAAAGCAAGTAAAAAAAAAAAAAAAAAAAAAAATACCCAGTACTAGTATAAACTGAAAATAAATAATTTATAATTTACATGTGATGCCAGTGAAGTATTTTTCCCCGTAGAGCTGGACAGTCCTGAGGAGCTGGAGAGGAAGAGAATCTGCCGCATCATCACCAAGGACTTCCCACAGTACTTTGCGGTCGTGTCTCGAATCAGGCAGGAGACCAATCAAATGGGACCAGAAGGCGGGACTCTGAGCAGCCGGAGCGTCCCATTGGTTCAAGCTTCTTTCCCCGAGGGGGCGTTAACCAAGAAAATCAAAGTTGGACTGCAGGTGAGTTTAGAGATGTTGATGTCTGTTGTTTTCATTTATCTGTCTCACACAGAACAAACAATGACCACAGTGGCAGAAGCTAGAAGCAATACACACAGATACACATGTGGATACACAAACCTTTACACACGTTAAACACACATCACTGATCTCTCCCAGGCTCAGCCGGTGCCTGACGAGACTGTGAAGAAAATCCTCGGCAACCGAGCAACCTTCAGCCCCATCGTTACCGTGGAGCCCAGAAGAAGGAAGTTTCACAAGCCCATCACCATGACAATCCCAGTCCCGCCACTCTCAGGGGAGGGGCTCAGCAATGGCTACAAGGGAGACCCTACTCCATGTCTCCGCCTTCTCTGCAGCATCACAGGTGTGTGTGGTAGTCTAACCGTCTATTTCTAAGAACACCAATTTCAGTTTAAGAACTTGAGAGTGAGTTTTTTGAAAAATGAGGATAGAGAAGACATGATGTCAGCGTGTATATGCACTACTGTGTAAAACGAGTTGTTAGACTGTGCGTCAGCTCTGTTTTAAAAGTGACGAGCTGCTTTGGATATTTCATATTTTAGCTGCTGTGTGGTGTCAGCACAGTGAGCCATGAATAATTTTAGAGAGCAGATGTAATTTTAATAATTTCTAGCTTAGTAATTTAACTTTTTGTGTAAAAAGAAAAAAAAGCATAGCTGACACAAATTACTATTTAAAGTGTAGTACTTTAATAAAACATGTCTGGAGTGAACCTTTAATTTATTTAACTTATTTGATCGCAACTAAAAGAAAAGCTTGTCAGAAAAATATATGATCACTTCTGTCTCTCAAAATGTCACTACATTTTCCCTGTAAAGTAGACGTATAAAAATGGATGTCATTGACAGAAAATCTTCTTCTTCCACCAGGTGGAACATCCCCAGCACAGTGGGAAGACATCACCGGCACGACTCCTCTCACCTTCGTCAATGACTGTGTCTCCTTCACCACTAATGTCTCTGCCAGGTGAGTCACACCACATGTGCACCTGTGACACTGTAGTTACCCTGAATCTGTTGTATCTCTGTGTCTGAGACGTTCATCGTGTAATCTGTCATCTGTGCAGGTTCTGGCTAGCAGACTGCCACCAGATCCCAGAGACGGTGGGTTTGGCCATGCAGCTGTACAGGGAGCTGATCTGTGTGCCCTACATGGCCAAGTTTGTGGTATTTGCTAAGATGAATGACCCAGTGGAGTCCAGACTGAGGTGCTTCTGTATGACGGACGACAAGGTGGATAAGACCCTGGAGCAGCAGGAGAACTTCGAGGAGGTGGCCAGGAGCAAAGACATAGAGGTACTTAATTATTGGTTGATCATTATCAGTGCTGGTTCTGTCAGAGGACGAGGTTTAGGAATTTTGGGGCATGACTGTCAGAAATAAGGTCTTAAATATGTTATTATTGCTGTACTTTATTTTCATACAGTGATTTTTTTTTTACATAATGCACCTTTTTTATTTTAGTATTGCCAGTTTCTTTGGTTTGAAACAACTTAAAAGCAAGCGTTTTTCATCCTCCATGCAAAAGTTGTTATAACAAAGCTATATTTAAGGTGGCACTGGTGAAAAGCTGGGCTGATACTGATATTTGAAATCACAACCATCTTACAGACCTCATAAATACTTTTGAAGGATGGTAATTCTGTTGCATGTGACTGTCGTTCTTACTTGTGTTATGTGCGTCCTCAGGTTCTGGAGGGCAGGCCCATCTATGTGGATTGCTATGGAAACTTGGCGCCTCTGACTAAAGGTGGTCAGCAGTTAATTCTTAACTTCTACGCCTTCAAGGAGAACCGTTTGCCCTTCTGTGTCAAGGTACTACATATAGTGCACAATGCACGGCCCCTCTTTCTCAGGCTGGGTTGTGGAGTTGGAAGATCTATAAATCATCATGATGATAAACTGGTTGAACTTTACTAAAATTACACCAAAGATGTCTTAACCAAATGCAAAAGAGCACAAGACATAATGTTGCAGAAAAGCAGCAGCAGGGTTATTTTTGTTTCTGTTAAAATACCATGTCAACCATAATTGTTTCAGCTCTATTCCTCTTAACTGCCCTCCCCTTCCCCCCTCTAGCTTTCCATGAAATGAACCCAGTCCACAGGGTATAACCTAGTTCCCTTTGTCACTGATAAATCACGTCATTGATCGACCCATTAACCTCCACTTCTCGATAATCAGTCCTCTTGTCACGCCTCTCTATCACACACACAACTAATTGGCACCGCAGTAGCAGAGCACCACGTGTATAAGATTATGTACAAATAGAGAGGTTCTGTTAGTCATTATTTAACAAATGCTCAATTAGCAAAAGACTTGTGCGGATAATATGTGAAAACAAAGTCAAAGATGTGTAGTTTCAAGGGAAGTGTTTGTTGAATTCAGGGCTTATATTCTTTGAAGTGGCACCTTAATGTGCATTCACACCAAAAGCGTCATGAGCGCCAGTGGTCACTCAGGTTGCTGGCATCGCGCTGCCTGGCAGCTCTGGCAGGGCTTGCAAAAGGCTGCCAAGGGGCGGGGCTTTCAAGCTGCGCTGCAGATGTGTTGTGTGCATTCTAGTTAACCCACCTGTTCACCCAGCTTACATTTTATGTGCTTTGCATTTCGACACGAGCCTATTTTACTTACCAGACAAACCAACAATTTTAGATACCCTTTTCCAGGCATCTGACTTCTTCTGGATGTCTCTGTAAATAAACAGAGACACATCATATAGCTCCGGGAAACCGGAGACCGCCATAATCAACTTCTCCTCCATTTTCGTCTTCTCTTTCTTTTTCTTTCACTGTCCCGCCTAGAATATTCACGGTCTGCAATTGGCTGCTGCTCGCTGCTGCTTCGGCGGCGGCTCTGCTCATTTGCATAAAGTTGAGCTTCTCTCAACTTCACAGTGACGCTCCGGTCGCTGGCATCGCGCTGCTCGCTGCCGCCGACACTCCAGACGCCGTTTCGTAGCAAGCGTACATTAAAAATGAATGGCTGCCAGCCGCTTATGACGCTCATGACGCTTTTGGTGTGAATGCACAGTTAGAGCCAAACTAGATTTAGATTCAACTTTATTGTCATTACACTGAGTACAAGTACTGAGAAAACATGTACGGCTCAATTCAGTTCGATACGCATTTTTTCCATTTCCAAAGTTGTGGATGGTACCAATGGAAGCGTTCCGTACTGTCTCCATGTTTGGTCCCCCCTCTGCTGGGGTACCTAGCACACAGATCTGGTACTAAAAGGTGGAGCTGTGAACACTGCAGTCTGATTGGTCAGTAGAGGACGGTCACTCTGCTCAGGGCTGAGTTGTGTCTGGTTTTGAGGCTCATGTAACCACTGTTCATACTGTGGAGAGTTTTATTAGTAAACTGTAACTATAAAATGAAAGGATGTTTTGCTGCCTCTCACAGCAGCTGGAGTCTGAGAAAAATAACTCCATTCACTGGGCTGACTGCTGGCAACTTTTAAGGGGGAAGGCCTGAGGGCCGTGACACAGCATCAGTATATGACAACATGGGAATGAGAACAGGCTGGCTGTCAACAGCTGAACTATATGATTATTAATTCTGTACAGAATTTACCACAAATGTTGCAGATACACGTGTGGAAAATGTAATACTCAGGTGTCTGGGTTAAACATTGAAGTACTTCAGTAGTGACTACCACTTTTATAAAAGAACAAGGTACATAAAGAAGCACTGTTCTCCCTCCAGGTGAGAGATCCCAGCCAGGAGCCCTGCGGTCGTCTTACGTTCCTCAAAGAGTGTAAGACCATTAAAGGCCTTCCACAAACCGCCGTGTGCAACCTGAACATCACTCTTCCTGCAGTGAAAAAGGTAAGGTAGCGTGAACTCACCATTCTCTGTTGTCACCTCCATAACCATACTCACGGTCAGGGTACTTTTGGCCCCGGTAACACTGATAGATGAAAGACAGAGAAAGACTCTGGCCAAACTGCCGCCACTGTGTCTTTTATCTGTTTAAAGCTTCTCTCTGTGTAAATTGGTTATCTATGCAGTGGATTCTTGTCATTGGCTGTTTCATTTTGTTCCTCTCTACCTTTTGATTTGGATGACATGCTTTTGGCTGAGGGCTTTTGTGCAAAAGGCTTTTTTTTGATCAGGCTGGCTTTTTTGTGGCTTCAGTTCATTTGCTGTTTTTGCTGCTGAGTGTTGGCGCTTTATACTTTTTCTTTTTTTTGGTGTTTGTCAAGTCTGTGTTTTTATTTTGTTTGCTTAAGTGGCTTCTCTTCTGAGTTGGAGCTTCTCTCAATCACTCCTTTTTCACACCCTGATGTTTCTTTCCCCCCTGCTTTCCATTATGTTACTCCCCCTGTTTCTGCAATGCATCTTGGGAACCAGGAAATGGAGTCAGATGCCGAGGATGAGGTAAACCACACCCTCCCCACCATTTGCTGTCCTCTGCGCTAGATCTGTAGCGGCCCTGCTTCATCATAGCATTATTCTTTCCGCTTCTACAAGGACAATACGAGCTTTCCTTGTTCAAAGCAACCTTTAGCTGCTCAGTTTTGCATGATATATTGTAGATATGAAAAACAATTTGTTTAATGTCCAATCCTTATCCCTTCCACTTTACAGTATGTGATATAAGTGGCTTTGGAGTAGAGTTGTACTTAAATTGTCCTTAAGTTAAGATTTAATCTTTCGTAACATTACGTTAAAACTGATTATTTGCACTTTTAAGTACCTATCATTTAGAGTTTGTAGCCTCATCATGACTAACCTAAGCTAGTTTGGCTAGCTTTGCATAATAACACTTACTGTGAGTGGTAGTTTTAGTACAAAAATAATAGTTGAAGTGCAGTGAATACTCTTAAAGGAGAATTTGCTGCTGTGTTATGTAAGTGTTAAACATGGGCTTTGTTTTTATGTGAACACCAACTACTGCAGGTTGTTGGGTTTGCTTTAATTTGACATTATAAGGTCCAAATGTTGCTCATCTGGCAGCACCATACAATGTAGGGTGACCTAAAACTAATAGGTTTTTGTGTTGTTTGCTATTGTTGCAGACTGAAAAGCCAGAGCGACGTCATACCTTTGCATCCCTAGCCTTACGTAAGCGCTACAGCTATCTGGCCGAGCCTGCACTGAGTGAGTTTTGACATTTTCACTAACAAATGATGAGTATAATAATGCCAGTATTCGTGGATAAGTTAGTGTATTAACAATTTTAATCAACCTGTAAAATGCGTGATCGATATGTCGATAGATGTGACTTACTTAATGTAATAAATGCACATTTTCTCATCCTACATAACATGCACTGTCCACATGCCTGTTTACAACATGGTACATATTTTTGCATGGGTCAGTGAGTGATTTTTGTGCTGTGCTTGCCCACGTTGTGAGTTGTACTTCTTCTGGGTTTGTTTGGTTGATTTCCACTGCTGAGTTTTTACAAGTCCAAATGCAGCAACATCAAAATTTTTCTTTGACTTGCCCACGCAATGTGAAAGGCATTTGGCAGGGAGGTCAAAGTGAAATTTTCTGTATTTTCCATTTGTCCCCTCTGAGTTTAAAGCTCTTTTTGGCTTTGTGATGACGGAGCAGCTTTTTGTGGGACAAACATGCATGTTAGGAGATCCTGAGTTTGGCTTTCTTTCAGGTGTTTGTTTTCAGTTTTTCACACACTGCTTGTCACCAGTTTTTATTGATCCTGCATGACAAAATGGGCCAAAACGCAGGTCTTGGAAAACACATTTTGTCATATTTTGTTTGTTACATAATAAAAGGAAAATGGAAACTACTGCAGCCCTTGGCTCTGTTGTCTAAATTGTCTTTGGGGAATCTGTCATTATGTAATTTTTTTTGGACCAAACAGATAAAAGGCACTTTAAAAAGCATATTGAAATTAGAGCCAGAATTCATACGCTGATTTTAGAACATCTGAAGTCCAAAGAGAGAAGTTGTTTTTGTGTTAATCCTGGTGCATTTGTCTTACCATTTTTCTGTTGTCAGTTGTTATTCTACGCCATCGTCTTTTGGAATTTTACTTTGCTGCTGTATGTGCTTGGTTCAGTTTATTCATTATGTTGTTGTTGCTGTTGTTGTTGCTGTTTGAGTCATGTCCCAATCCTGAATCACACAGGAACAGAACTGTTTTTTTTTCATAACTCCATCTTCAGTCAATACTCAAATATCAGCACTTCATAAAACTGCTGTTTTTCCTTCCTTGATACCAGGACTGCGTCACTGACCAACTCTTCCTCCTCTGATCTCTTCTTTTTTCATATTTTTTTCTTCCTTTTCCTTTCCCAACATAATTTTCTGTTACCTTTACTATTCCACATTCTTTTTATTATTTTTTTCCATTCCTTCTTTGTCATTGTTTCTACAAAATCATCTGAAGAAACAGCACTCGAACGAAGCACAGCAGCAAGAACACTGCCTGCTGGTTACCCTCACAAACCTGTCTTTCCAACCAGACCTTACCCACCATGGTCGACTGCTCCTATTACCGTCCCTGGCCAAACAAGGCTCGTCGGAGTGGGGGGTTCCCTCACCTCTACCGATTCACCGGCAGGCTCACCAGCTGCTTCTCCATTGAAAACTACTTGGCCCCTTTCCTCCCCATCACCTGCATGCCCCGCAACTATCAAGGCTACCTTGGGAGCTCCACCACCACCACCACCACCACCTACTGTGTCATCCCCAGCTAAATCACTTAGCGACCTGACATCCTCATCCCCCATCAGGTCTTACAGGACTATGCCTTCACCCATTAAAACCGTTGTCCAGCTGGGCCAGTACCCCGTTCAGGGGTCTGCCAGCCTTGTGTCCTCTGGAAGCCCAGTTAAACCTGCCACAGATCCAGCATCTATCAAAAGCCTTGCTTCGGCATACACATCAAGGACTTCCCCTCTTCACTCAATACCCAATGGTTCTATACCAGAGAGGTCACCAGCTTCAGTCACTGCTCCAGCATCGCCAAAGACACCTTACAGCATGTACAATTCTAATCTGCCTTTTAAAACTGCCCTTGGGTCCACAGTTGCGACAGATGCAGGTGCACCCAATCTTTCTCCTGTTAAGAGCATCTCCAGCCTGTCCTCTTTGAAAACCTCTGTAGATTCAACACTCTCATCCAGAGGAGGGAGGACATCTCTGTCATCTCTCTCCTCAACTGGGCAGACAACCATTGCTTCCTCAGAATTGTCCATGATGAACGGATCGCTCTCGCCTGTTAAATATCCATCATCCTCCTCCACGCCATCCTCTCCTTCTTCTCGGCATCTCACAGAGAGAAGTAGCAGCCTTCAGGAGAGGATCCTGGCCACCACCCAGGCTGCAACCTCCAGTGTCAGCGCAGCCATAAATGAAGCTATAGACTCATATTCTGTGTCAGGCTATGGCACTCTTAGATCGCTGTCCTCCTCGCGTAGATCTGCAGCTCCAAGCTCTGCTTATGGTTCTCTGAGATCTGGAGCTGCCTCCTCCAGCTCTGCAGTTTCTTCTAACACAGTGACTGTACCTGTGTACTCGTTAGTCAACGTCATTCCAGAGACCCCTGTCAAACCAGGGCCAGGGTCTCTCAAAATGGCACTGCCTGATTCTTCTCGTGCCTCGTCCTCGTCTTCTTCCTCTTTGTCTACCTGTGTTACCGCATCAAAAATAAAGTCCCAACTTAAATCCCCTCCGTTTATCACACCACCCATCATCCACCCAACTGGAACTTCCAACCAGGAGATACTAAAAGATGTAGCAGACATGAAAGAGGATCTGATCAGAATGACAGCTATCCTACAGACAGACACACAGACAGCAGTTAAAACTGTCCAAACATCACATACTGGCACTCCTAAAGAGAGCAAGTTAGAGGATGAGGAGCCTTTTGCTCTAGTGGAGAAAGTGAAAGAAGATTTAGTGAAAGTCAGTGAGATATTACAGAAAGATATCAAGAGTGAAGCTAAGGCCATTGCAGGTAGAGAGAGAGTCTCAGAGGATGAATGGGAGGAATTTTCCAAAGATGAGATCGAGGAGGCACAAAGAAGTGCCCTCTCAGATTATTACCCTCCCTTTGATGAAAACACCCTCCTGCTCAAGCAGCAGTCCATGTCAAGCAAAGACTTAGAATTGGCTAAAGTAGTAGATTTTCTAACAAATGACATTGGCGCGAGCTCTCTCTCCAGAATAGCTGAGTTAAAATGTAAGTACGAGGAGGAGGCAAAGAGGGATGGGGAAGGGGAAGAGAAACAGAAACGTGTTCTTAAACCATCTATGTCAATACAAGAGCACAAACTCAAAATGCCTCCACCAGTCTCAGGCATGCTCAGGTCTCCCTCAGAGAAGGATCTAAGCAAACTTGCTGAATCATCATATCAGGGGACGGACACTATTTTGGAGTCACCCGAGGACCTGTCCCATGAGCAGGATAAGAGTCCGCTGTCAGACAGCGGGTTTGAGACCAGAAGTGAAAAGACGCCCTCTGCTCCTCAGAGTGCAGAGAGTACAGGACCTAAGCCTTTATTCACAGATTCACCCATCCCTCCCTGTGTTACAGAGACCAGGACCGAAGTGGTCCATATTAGGAGCTATGAGCAGCCTGATGATCTGTGTGAGCCTGCACTCATGGAGGAGTCTGCATCTGTTCTTCCTCCAGTAGAGCCAGAGGCAGCTTCAGTAAGCTCCACGAAAGCCATACAGATGAAAATGCCAGAAGAGGACTCAATGATTAACAAAAGTGTGTGTCTTAAAGAGGAAACTCATATAACTACTACTACTAGAATGGTCTATCACAAGCCCCAACTGACTGATGGTGCAGAGATTTTAGAGGAAGGTATGTCAGTAAGGGATATCATGAAAGCTTTCCAGTCAGGTAGGGACCCATCTAAAGAACTGGCAGGACTTTTTGAGCACAAAGCTAGCCAGGATTCTGTCAAAGGCGATGAGTTGACTCCTAGATTTCTTGACAGAGACATTAAATCCAAACCTAAAGTGGAAAGGATAATAGAGGTTCATATCGAAAAGGGCCACAGCACAGCAGAGCCGACTGAGGTTATTATCAGGGAAACCAAGAAACACCCTGAGCTTTATGTCTACAAAGGGGACCATGGAATTAAGGAGCTTACTGATTACGATGAGGCCCAACAGGAAGAGGAGGAACTTACTGCAGAAGAATCCCTACCCTCCTTCCTAGAAACATCTCGCGTTAACACCCCAGTGTCACAGGAGGAGGACAGTCGCCCAAGTTCTGCCCAGCTGATGGCGGATGATTCATATAAAGCCCTGAAACTACTGAGCCAACATTCCGTAGAATACTGTGATGATGAACTATCAGAAATCAGAGGCGAGTCGTATAGATTTGCTGAGAAAATGCTCCTGTCAGAGAAACTTGACACATCATCGCAGTCTCACTCTGACACAGAGGATTCAGCTATAGCAACTGACAAGAACCGCCACCAAGTTTCTGAGGAGAGCGGTAGCCGCGGCACAGAAAGTCAGCAGTATGGAAGCCCCAAAAGAGAGTTTGGTTCCAAGTCATCAAAAGATGGCTCCCCTATATCTGGTAAATTTGTGCACAGGGATGAACCATCTCAGTTTGATAAGGTGACAGTGCTTCATTACTCCACAGAGCAGGGCAGTCCCAAACATGCTGTTTGGATGCGATTTACAGAGGATAAACATGACAGGAGCAGGGATAAGCTTCTCTATGAGGATAGGGTGGATCAAACTGTAAAAGAAGCTGAAGAAAAACTCAGTGAGGTATCACAGTTCTTCCGTGACAAAACAGAAAAGCTCAATGATGAGTTGCAGTCCCCTGAGAAAAAGCCTGTAATACGAGAGCCAAAGGAACCAAGGTCCTGGCCTAGCTCAGTCTGCAGTACCCCTGAGAAAACACAGCAGAAACCTAAAGCAGAAGATGTCTTCAGTACAAGTAAACTCAGGGAGCCTTCTGTTGGTAAAATGTTTGGTAGCACCACTACGGCTGAAAAGAAAAGTTCTAGTTTACCAAGCAGTCCGCAGAAAAGCAGGCTCCCTCATATCAGTGAGGATAAAAGTAAACAACAAACTAAAACCAGTGAATCAGAACCTTCTTCTCCCTCTCATGTAAAATCAACATCCAAAGTCAGTGCAGTGAGGATGAAGTTTGAATCTGAGGCTCAAAAACAAAGTCAGTCTAGTCCAACCAAAATCCCCCCTCCAGTGCAGCCAAAACCTTCAATAAAGAAATTACAGGAAAGCAAACTTCCTGTTTATCAGTTTTTTGCAGGAGGAAAAACATCACAAGTATCTGAAACATCAGAAGAAGTAAGCCCGAAAAAGGATGTTGAGAAGGACACAGACACCAGTAAACCTGCTTTATCACCTACATCTAAAAGCTCAAAATACACAGGAGACAAGTCGCCAAACAAAAATATCCCAGAGCCCTTGTTACAAAGACAAATAAGTGAAACTGAAACTCACAAAGCCACTACTACAGGGAAAGATGTCCCTTCCACAGTTACTCAGGAAATAAAAGAAAGCAATAAAGATCAGAAAGTCCAGGCACCTGTTGCTAAAGAAACAACTAGACTAGTAGAGAAAGTTAGTGATGCTAAAAAGAGCCAACAAGTGACAAAAAGTGAGTCTGCTTCCAAAGAAGTAATAGCTGAAGTATCAAGAAAAGAGACAGACGAACCCCTTAACAAAAACCTCAGAAAAAAGGCAGAATCCCAAATTCCTGTAAGAACGTCTTCTACTTTAGATAATGACCTCACAAAGAAACAGACAATAGCTAAACCCTCACAGATACCCACATTAGCAAAGAGCAAAATACAGACAAGTCTTGAGACAACTCCTAAAAAAACAGATTTGACTTTTGAAATTCTAGATAATGCACCCAAAGATTCAAACTCCAATAATCTTCCCAGCCCAATAGACACACTGGAGAAAGTCATAATCCCTCCAGCTGCTGCAACAACCAAAGAGAACTTTAAGGGCATCAAAACATTACCTGTTTATGTCAGTGTCCAAGTGGGAAGGCAGGGAGAGAGGGAGGCCAAAGGGACACTGTATACAGTCAAACAGAAATCAAGCTCAGCACTCAGCCCCATAAGCCCTGATGATGACACACTAGAACAGGTTTCTTTCATCGATAGCTCAGGGAAAAGTCCCCTAACGCCAGAAACCCCCAGCTCTGAGGAGGTCAGCTATGACCTCACGTCCAGGACCCCTGATGGCTTTATGGGATTCATGCCAGGGAAACCAAGCCCAATCATGGAGGTCTCTGAAGAATCAGAGGAAGATGACCAAAGCAAAGTTGTTTTCTCTTTTAAAGAGGTCCTGCCAGAACGCAAAACTAGTGTTGACACCACCAAAGCAGACCTGGCTAACGCTAATGAGCAACAAACAAAAAGTAATGATAACCAGCAGGAATTAACTTACAATTTGATCCAGGAAGAAACAACAGCCATTGTCAGGCAGGATGAGATGACAGAGCTGGAGCAGCAAGAGGCCTCCAAAGACAAAGGTATTGCTTATATTGAGTTTCCTCCCCCTCCTCCTCTGGACTCTGCTTCAGAAATGTCAGACCCAGAAAGGAAAGGTTCCTGTGCCTCTTCAGAGACTGAGACTGAAATGATGGAAGTGAACTTACAGGAGGAACATGACAAGCATCTGCTGACCGAGCCAATTATACGTATACAACCCCCTTCCCCAGTGTCCCCGGGGGAAGATGACAGTCAGTCAAATGATGAAGATGATGAGTCAATGTTCCAACCAATTCCTTGTAAGAAATTCACTTCCAAAATTCCTGATGAGGGGGAGGAGGAGAAGAGGAGTGAGAAGGAAAAGGCATCGAAGCCCAAAAAACATGACAAAAATGGAAACAACAAAGAACCTAATGGTGAGACAAATGGCTCCAATGGTTCTAAAGGTTCTAATGGCAAAGGAGAGGACTATGAATATGAACAAAATGGAAATGACCAGTCAATAACAGACTGTTCCATAGCCACAACGGCTGAATTTTCTCATGACACAGACGCAACAGAGATAGACTCCCTAGATGGATATGAACTTCAGGATGAGGATGATGGTCTGTGTGAGCAGGCAGATTTACGGCTGTTTGGTCTTCCAGACAGCCGGAGAGATGTATGGGCGACAGACACATTTAGGTCTACTGACCGCTCTTTTCCTCAGACCAAACTGGAAGTTATTGAAGAGGAGAAAACCCCAGAGGAATGTCAAAAGGACACTCTCAAAAAAGATACACCCTCAAATGGTGGAATACCTGACGCTGTTAGTAAGGATGGGGACATAAGTCAGGAACAAAACCAGTCAAAGAAAGAGGGATTTTCAGACACTTACTTTAGCTATAAATTAGAAGAGGAGTTTAATTCTCCTTTTAAGACTGTTGCCACTAAGGGGCTGGACTTTGACCCCTGGCCCAGTAAAGGTGGAGAAGAAGAAGTTGTTGACATGGGAGGGACACGGGGAAGCAATGGTGAGCCTAAGCCTTTTGGACTGGCAGTGGATGACCAGTCTCAGGCCACAACACCAGACACTACCCCAGCCCGAACGCCAACGGACGATAGCACGCCGACGAGCGAGCCAAACCCATTCCCCTTCCATGAAGGGAAGATGTTTGAGATGACACGCAGTGGTGCGATTGACATGAGCAAGAGGGACATGGTGGAGGAGAGGCTCCAGTTTTTTCAGATTGGTGAGCATTACTTCTCGGCGGGCAGGTACAGGGTCAGGGACTTAGAGGTGGATGCCTCATCACAACACATGGATCAGTTTAACACTCAGGATCCCACAGGTACCTTAACAGTCCCGCAAGTCTCCATTCAGACTACCACTGTCCAGCTAGAAATATCAAATGCAGCTGGCAGTTATACCACATGTAGAGACTCAACCTCCAACACTGAGCCTAAATTCTCCACTTTTAGAACAGGATTCAAGTTGTCATCTGATAAAACCTCTGATGCTTCAAATAGCAGTTCTAAATGTAAAATATCAGGCATCTTTGATCACTCGAATGACATAACCTCAGGAACAACTGTAGATACTTCTTATTCTGTAACCTCAAGCGATACAGGTTATTGTACTTTTGATACTTCAGGCATGACAGCTAACTATTTGAATAATAGACCATCAGCCATCACAGATTATTATGCAGATCACAGAATTCTTTCAGGTAAATCCAACCAATTGGCTTGGACGTCAGGAAATCACACTTACTTCCAAAGCACAGATTGTTCTTCCACACCTTCACAACAAATCAGCGATCCCCAAACATGGAGCAGCAATACCAGTAGCAACATCCCTGACTCCCATTATGTTCACTCAGACGGCATGCAGGCTGGCAGTATTGTGTTCAACTTGTTGTCTTCTTCTGGACCTACTCAGCAGGAAGTCAGCAGGATAGAAGCATCCTTCAGCCAGCTAGAAGAGAACAGCAAGGAAGGCAGGATTCATACTAATGTAGCAATAACAAACACAGGAGCCAAAGAGGTCAAAGGCAAGATATGCAAGTCCAGGTTACCAGTGAGGGCGCCCAACCACAAACTATGCAGTCAAAGTCAGCCAATCGTGAAAGACAATGTTGATAAATTCCTAGTCAGGAAACGTGCAATGCATATTGTCAGGGAAAGATTAGATCCTTTTGCAAATGTATTTCCTAAATCTAGAATCCCAGTAATGAAAGCCATGAAATACTCTTGTTTCAAAGAGCAGAAGCAGGTTCAAGCTAAATCTGCGGTTAGTGATAGAAACATTAAAACTGCCAAGGGTAATAAACAGCTAACGAAAGGCAGAGCTAACACTGAACATAGAAACAGTACAGCAAAAATCCCAATTAGAAGTAGCAAAAATGAGACAAGGAGAAAAAACAGTGCAGTGGTCTCAAAAAGCGTTAAAACAAGGTCGGTCAATAGCCAGGCAGCCAAACGTTTGGACCAGACCATTCCCAAGGAGGCTGAAAGAAAGTTAGAGGGGAAAACACTGCCCACAGAGGACGAAGAGAGCTGCAGCCTCAGCACTACCAGGAACACTTCCTTGTCACAACCATCTAGAGCCTCTAGAAGTTCCTGCCCTTCACGCACCTCTACCTCCACCTCCACCAGCACCACCACATCAACACCATCTGCTAGAGATGTGAGAGCTGAGGTTGAGCAGGCCAGCAGTGAGAGGATGAGGAGGAGGAAGAGTAGGCGGACACTTGGAGGGGAGGAGCAAGAGCAGAAGGAGGAAGGGAGTCAGGTTGATCAACCAATCACGGCTCCTGTCACGGAGAACCAGACTAGTTTGTAAACTCTTTCTAAACACTTGATATACTTGATCTTTCTCTCTGAGATGCATGTAGCTGTTGTGGGTGCTTTGTGATGTGACTTTGTAAGTGTAGACGTCACTACTTCTTCTTCTTCTTCTTCTTCTTCTTGTCATTCTTGTTTTCTGTGTCCTGTGCTGTCTGGTTTAGACAAAGAGGTAAAGGCTAAGACATGGAGAATCGATGGCAGAATCAGGAATACTCAAAATTTGTCCCTAGATCAAGTAGACGTAACTGAATTTCATGCAGTTTGATGTTTAAGGTAAAGGGATGTCTATATATGTGCCAGGATAGTTGATTAATTACTTCATGGCTAGTGGGAGCTTTACTGTATTAATTTCTCTAGTGCACAGGAACTACAACTTCAATACCAGCAAACACTTCTTAGCTGTCAGTATTGGTTTGCAAGTAGGCCTAAGCACACTTGAGGGGCTTAGTTAAGACTGAGTATGCATTCCTTTCTATTACTGTGGCGGTCTTACAGGCTACCACACACATTCTCACTTTCGTTTCACACTACAGATCAAGTTAGCCTCACACTTCACCACATGTCACACCATTCACTTCCACCCTCGACATAATTACGACCTGAGATGTGAAAGATCGTTTGGGGAATTGTGACCTTGTGCTGTTTTGGTCTGCTTGCCTGGTTTGTAGAAATTATTTGGTGGTACTTTTGCTCTTTGACAACACTGTGAAAACAATTCATCAGAGCTGAACTTGACAATCAGATAGTTGTCAGCTGCACAGGAGTTTGTCAGTGTAGTCAGTCAGTAAAAAACTTAGTGCAGCTGGATTACTTTTGATTTCAAGTTGAAGCCATGAATTGCTTTTATCAGTGGAAGGGAATGTTGCCTGATGGTAGATCGTTTGTTGTTAGTGATGTGCTACAAAACTCTTAAACTCTTCTCTACTAATACTACTGAACATCAAACGTTTTAGTGTGAAAATGTGATTTTTGGTTTTCCTTTTCTGGCCTCACAGATCCTCAAGCTTTCAGTTTTTACGTCCTATTATCAGTTGTCTCACTGATTCTTCAATAGTGCTAGTCTTGAAGTAGATACAGCAACAATTAGATGAGATTATTTTATATTTTCTTTATGTTAACTTAGTTTTCTTTGTTAGGCAGAGTGTGTCAGTTTATGCTATTGTAGTCCTCTTTATGTCCCATCTAAAGGGCATATCTGCATTTTCCAAGGCTTAGTAATTAAGAGAAAATTCATATAATATAGTCCTATAGAGAGTTTATTGTAAAACCAAAAGGAATAGTTAGGCATTTTGGGAAATATACGTATTTGTCCTGGTGATAGACTGTATAAAATAATGGATGTAGCCACCGTGACATAACCCACTGGTTTTTGGACTCTGTTTTGAAGCCTCAAGTTTGGCATTTTGGCTGTTGCCATCTTGGATTTTTGAATCAAGAGGTGATTTGTGGACAAGAGTGTGGATATAACACTAGTTTGCTTAGCTTGGTGCATTTACAGTCTTTGGTCAGTTGTGGTAATATTAATGCTAATTTTTGCTAGTGAAAACGGGCATAAAACCATTAAAACAAAATGTACTTTACAGAAAAAGTAAACATCTGACTTCTTAGAGACTTTGTTTTTAGGTACAACAGAATGCTAAACAAGACTTTTTAGATGACCAAAATGTAACAATTAACTCTCATGCAAAAGCTAAAATGGTGACAGCTACGGCTACGCCTATCAGAATCCAGGGTTACACCATGGTTAAGTTACCTAGCCAACATTGTTGCTGTGATAGTAACTTGTCAACAGATAGCACAGACTTGTCACTCAGAAGGGCCACGTCTTTAATTATGCATAACTTTAAGCCTTAATGATACTTAAACGGATTGATTATGGATGAGATATTTAAATATTATCCCCACCCATGTTTATTTCTGTTGTTAAGTTGGATATTTTAACATGTAGTCTATGGGGATTGACATGCTTTTGGAACCAGCCCCAAGTGGCCATTAGAGGAACTGCAGTTTTTGGCACTTTCACATTCCCAGAAGTTACCTCTCAGTCCTGGCTAAGAAAATTATCTGACACATAAACCCACATGAAACTACAACTTTTTTGTTTGTTTTTACACTGGTTTTTCAATGGATTAAACAAATAAATGTAACATGTTAATCAGTGAGCTTTAGCGATGCTGGTAGGCAGATTTCCTTTTACTTGTGGACAGAGCCAGGCTGGCTGTTGACCCCCATTTCCAAGGAGAGGGGTATTGATCTCCTTATTTAATTCTCAGCGGGCAGAAGTGTAGCACATTTCCCAAAATGTCAAACTACTGTTTTTAGCAAGCATCCATTATCCAAACTGAATCACTGAGGAGAGTCTGGCCAGAAAAAATGTGTTTTTGTTTTTTTTTTCTTTTTTTCCAGAGGTAAGACCTGGGACAGTGAGCTAAAGTTAGTCTTTGTGTTTGTTCAGTCGCCAACACTACGGGTAAATGAAAAAAGACAAAAACTCATTTTAATTAAACAGGTATTCATTAACTGCCTATGTAGGAGGTCTTCTGGTTAAACCACATTACTGTCAAAAGTCTGAAACAGACAAACTTTCAGTTCACAATCCCAATCTGATTCTTTTATCATTGATTTTGTAGGAGACATTTTCTATTTCTCTTACTGAGAACCACATGAAATTAATTTGGGGGTCGTTGTCATAATTTCATGTTAACTGTTTGTGTCCTGCCCTTCCCTGCCTCCTCGACACAGGCCCTCAGAGTCCCTGTGAGAGAACAGACCTCCGCATGGCAATAGTAGCCGACCACCTTGGACTCAGCTGGACTGGTGAGTCTACACACATCTCAGAATCAAGCATGAAGCGATGAAAGAGTACCATCTTTATTATGTGCAGTGAGGAACACCTGAAATGATCTTCTCAATCATCCTCTTATGATAACAATCAATGTATTCATCGATTTGACACCTGTCGTGCACAAAGAGGAGTCAGTGTATGAATTTTAAAGAACACCCACATATATGTTTGAATGAATGAGCTGGACTGAGCCCAATTCTCTAACCATTAGTTTAACAGTGTTTGTTGCCCTCTGGTGGACATATATTATACAGATATCTTAACTGAGCAGCACTGCAGTGGCATTCATAGTTAAATACATCAACGTCACTACATGTGATATGACATGGGAGTAGGAAAATTTGTCAAAACTTGGATTGCTTTTATTTTTTTAATAGAAATTTTTAAGTGTTGAGACACATTATTTGTCGGAGGGTTAAAAGCTGTATAGAGCAATAATGTGTTATTGACTTAAATGTAAAACACTTGCGTAACAGTATATATATATTATTTTATGTATCTCCATATTTGAGTATTTTAAGGAGCAACAGTAGGATGACATTAGGTTTATGTTGTATTTGAGTGCCGATAAGGGTGTGGCCTCTGCAGTTAAGTCCAAGCCTGACCACCTGCACTGCAGCACTGTCCCACGCCTGCCTGTCTGTGTGTCTGTGTTTGTGTGAGTGGGCGTCACCGTGTGTGTGCGCAGCAATCATGTGTATACAGGCGTCCATCTGAAGTGCATATGAGTGTGATTGTTGTGCGCCTGCCTGTCCGGTGCAGAGACTGAGTTAGTGCTCAGCAGAGAGAAGGAATCTAATCCATATTTAATGTGTGTTCCTGTTGCAGAGCTGCAGTGAACAATCTGCTGAACATTATGTTCTCGTGGTTTGAAATTTATAGCCAGCATGCTTGTCTCTACAAGCAGCACTTCACTGCTTCGTTAGCTGTTTGGCACAGTGTTATAATCGGTTAGTAACTGAGCATTGACACAAATCATGGGGATTTTTTTCAGCACCACAGTTTGATCAGATAACATGTCCTCACCCTCGTGTTTCATAAGCAGTCACGTTAAGCTTGTAGCACAAGACCGATCAGTTGGAAGGTGAATTATTACTGCTGCAAACCTGAAATCTAATTTACGATGTCTTTTCCGGCAAATTATTGTTACTGTTTTTCTGCATTTCTACCCATGAATCTGTCCCCTGTGGCAGCAACTTGTTTACACCACATCTGATGTGTCGGTCTGCAGCTTGTCATCAGATAACTAATTGTTTTCTAAAGTTTCTGCATTCGTGGAGGCATCTATGTGCTGTCACTCCCTTTTGTAGTGTTTGATTTTGGTTCTATCCGCAGAACCTGTCACTGATTGATAAATCACACTGCCTCATTGTCAGTGCAGACAGTTTTAAGAGAGGCTACTTCAATAGGAATGAGACTTTTACGCCCTGTGATGTGTAGCCTGGTTCAGACCAAAGATTTGCAACAAAACAAAATAATCTTAGAACACTGTGAGATAAAGCTGCAGCCATTGCTCCGTCCCAACTTGACTCGGGCCAGCTGATGTTGTCACCTGCAGCTTGGCTTGATTAGTAAGGCACATCACCTGTTTCAACAGCCAATCAGCTTGTAGCAAAATATGCTGGTTAAGTTGGCTTAAATGCTGTCAGCATTATCTGAAAACAGCCCTTCATCCCCACAGAGCCTGACTTTCGCCGTTGGTCTCTGTCCTCACATTGTCTGTCAGTGTCGGACACACACTCAAAAAATACAAAGTACTTTGTTGTTTCTTGTACCTGGAAATCCAGACTTAGAACAGAAGTTCAGAGTCGTTTCGCCATTAAGATCATACACAATCTTGTCTAGTTGCACTTGTATAAACTGGCAGGTTTTCAGAACACTGCAGACCAGTGCATTGCAAGCACTTGCATGGTTTTTGAGAAATTAGATATTGATATTGTGGCGGCAAAGTGATTCAGTGGTTAGAATTGTTGCCTCACAGCAAAAGGGTCCCTGGTTAGAACAAAGGGTGGGGGAGGCCTTCTATGTGGAGTTTGCATGTTCTCCCTGTGTCAGCGTGGGTTTCCTCCAGGTACTCCAGCTTCCTCCCACAGTCCAAAGACATGCAGGTTAACTGGTGACTCTAAATTGTCCGTAGGTGTGAATGTGAGTGTGAATGTTGTCTGTCTCTATGTGTCAGCCCTGTGATAGTCTGGTGACCTGTCCAGGGCGTTACCCCACCCCTCGCCCAATGTCAGCTGGGATAGGCTCCAGCCCCCCCACAGCCCCCAACAGGATAAGCGGTTACGGAGCATGAATGAATATTGTTATGTACATAATACAGCACATCTGAAATCAATTGTTTCTTTCCTTTTTTGCTTTGTCCCCCTCTCC